TAAGATAATTTTTTTTTTTTTTATCAACTGTGTTGATAACGTAACCCCCGGAAACTAAACGAACCTGCAGCCATATTTTAAAAGGTTACCAGTCGCTCACCGACTCCAATTTTTGTTACGCGGTTGATCAAGTACGCTGGCAGAGTGACCGCGGATGTCGGCGAAGTGACGGGTGTGTCGACGAGTAAACCAAAGACAACTGTCCACGATTTAACATGTTGGCGAAGTCACCGGGTACCTTTTAAAATCTAGTTTTGACGGAATAGTACTATAGATCAAGTTGTATCACCTTTGTCCCTGAAATCATATAGAGGGTCACATATACAAAGCCTATTCAAGTATGGGTAGATCCTGTGATTTACTCAGCTCGGCTGTTTTAAACTTTTCCAAAGAAGTTATACGCTTTGAAAACACCCTAACTCACTGGCTTGTGTGGTTGTTTGTGACTTGTGTAAAACAACTTGTCTCTGTCAGCCTGAAAGCATGCCACTTAATCATCACAATGTTCGCACACGCTGTGTCTACGAGACCCTTCTGTAATTGTGAGTAACTTACCGCGTTTGGCAAAACAGGGCTTTTTTCGAGTATATTGGGGTAAGAAGAAGACGGGGGTGGCATGCGTGGTCTTCCAAATTTTAGTCTGATCTTTCCTTTGGTCAGAGAAATTTCTGGTAAGCCATCTGTTTCTGTGATGGTGTTAGTCTTAGCACGGCGTTGAGGACACTTTTTCCTCGCCACCTATAAATTTGTGTAGAAGAGAAACGTAGAGCTGTAACGTTACTTACTCTAATTGTGAATATGTGAAAATCATATAAATTATGTGGACTGCGGGTTTTGAAATGAATATGAAAGCGATCTTCGCAGTAATAAATTCTACTTAAACAGTACGTGCGTAGTGAAAATAAGGCCTGAAAAAATGTAGGCCTGTACGGAACTTGTACCCATGACCTCTGCGATACCGGTGCAGTGCTCTACCAACTGAGCTAACATGTCAGCTGAGCGCTGGTCATTATGTTGGTTCGTAATGAACCCGTAAAGTGATGAATAAATGACTGTAAATATATGAAAATCGTATATGTGAACTGCGGGTTAAGAATTGAATATCAGTGAAAGCGATCTTCGCAGTGCTGAACACTATTTAAGCAGCTCACAGTTGGCTTGTTAGCTCAGTTGGTAGAGTACTGCACCAGTATCGCAGCGGTCATGGGTTCAAATCTCGTACGGGCCTGAATCTTTTTTCAAACTTCATTTTCACTACTGGTTAAATAGAGTTCATTACTGCTAAGATCACTTTCATATTCGTTACTTACTCTATAGTTAATTTACAGGCGATGAGCGTTGAAGCCTGACCTCGCATCTCTGCTTTCAAATTTCCTTTTCACTCGCTTTTTCCTTGCCCCTTATAAATTCTTATGGAATTGAAACCTAGAGCCTTTAAAGTTACAAGCCTCTTTAACTGACAGTCGATGTGCCTTTCGTAAGCCTTGGCACATCGTGCCTTGAAGCCGACCTCACATACCTGCTCGAAAATTCCCTATTTACATTACGAAAGCTGGTAAAATCAGTTGTTACGATTGAAAAGGGACTAACAAATTGTTTTAGTATATACAAACTCCGCTAACGGGCCGGACGGGGTGGCGCTCGGTCCGAGGTTCGTCATGACCTCGCACCAAATATTTACCTTGTAAAGGAAATAGAGCGCAAATTGATAGAGTACCAAAAACGAGGTGAACATATTAGCCCGACAGAGCTAAAACATACATCCAAAGATGCTAGAAGGAACTGTGGATAAGATTAAAGTATGATCGTAAACTGTCAGAGGACCAGGAGAACGCAAGAGACCAACTTAAGCATTTGATAAACTGGAGGCGGCGCGAATTTTCTAAACCATTCATAGACTAAAGAAGTCCCCGATTATTTTTTCTATACAACGCAAAAATACCAACCGTGCCAAAAACTATGTGCAACGGCTCAGCATACGGGGATTTGTTATCTCCAGCAGCATGCCTCGCCTTCAGGCTCTCCATGCGCCTTCTCAGCTGGTTTTCTGTCAAGCCAATAAGCCGGGCCCCGGCTGCGTAGTGGCCCACGACGTGGGGGGCCTGGATGCGCTTGTACTTGGTATGGTAAAATCTGCGATTTAGAGGTTTGACGTTTTTGATAATGGTTTGAGTCGCCCCAGTATTCGTTGATAAGTGAACAGAAAGATTGCGCCTACACTAAGCAAGTCTTAAGAACGAAGTTAAGCGATTGGATGAGTCAAATTCTTAACAAAAAGGGTTGCATCTGGAAGCAATAGCTGACCATATCAAAATCACACAAAAAATGCCACTTAACTTAACTTTAGTCAACTTGCAAGAAAATAAGGCGTGTGACTTACCCGACAATTTCGCTAATTGAATGAAGGGCTGATCTCTTCATAAACTGCGTCAAGGCCTCAAAGAGGAGATGTTCTCTCTTCCTTTTTTCGTCCACAGTTGCTACAGAAAATAAAGTTTCAACCCTTTGCCAAAGCCTTCCAAAAGAAATGAATCATACCGTCACCGACCTTCACTAAGCATATTATCATTTGTTTACCCACGGTCTAATTCTGGCATTCATCTCTAAATTGGCTTTTCCGTAAGTTAGGGTTCAGAAAACTTAGAAACCAAGTAACTCCGGAACTGATGGTCGGAAAAAGGCTTAGAATTTACACCAGTAGCAAAGCTATGAGTTTTTGAACCGAAGGGGGACAAAGCGGGAAAAGTTAATCATGACTACGAATTTTTGGGCAAGTTAGTTAAGTGACGTTGCATATACCGCTGGTCTACCTTGTGTACCATTTGGTTTATTTTCACGCTACAAGAATGACTGGAACATGTGGAGCATCCTAAACTAAAAGAGATTTGTGCCAGTCACGTTATTGAATTCGCGTGTTTTCTTGATCTGAATTTTCAGTCTTGTGACTTTATTGACGTAAACAATTTTATAACGGGAGCAGAGGAAGGGGGGAAGGGGGAGGAGGAGGGGAGGAAGGGAGGGGAAGGGGAAGGGGGGGGGGAGGGGGAAGGGGGGGAAAGGGGAAAGGGGGAAGGGGGAAAGGGGAAGGGGAAGGGGGAAGGGGGAAGGGGGAAGGGTGGATACGGCACCCCAGAATCTTTCTCCCGACTATGCCCTTATATACATTTACATTCGCACTGTAATGAAAACCGTTGAAGTACACACTAAGTAATTTACATCTTATCTTCTAACTCTCTTTATGTAAGTGTCCTGCCATTTGGGAGAGAGTCCATAAGAGTGGAAGGTGATAAAAAGTCCATGCCTATGGTTGTGAAAGGAAATGACACAGAAATAAATCACGGTGTTATAATCGTTAAGTATTAATTTAACGTACTGAATCCCTCCAAGAAGCGCTCTGTGTTCGTCATCAAGTTAAGGAACTCGTGGAAATCAATTTCACCATTTCCTGCAAGAAGCAGAGTACACATTTCAGAAAAAGGAGGTTATTTTGATGATGTGGTCCTTGAACAGAACAACTGCGAGGAATCTAAACTCTGATGGGGCTAGTATTCAATGTAAGAGACACCTTCTTCTCAGACGAGAATCCTTGGGGAACATTCTTTACATCGATCTCCCAAATACCCAGCACGATTTTTGAAGGTTTGGGTTATACTTCCAAATCTCAAAAGCGATAGAAACTTTTTAATGGTGAAAATGAATAACATGTGGTTTATGGGTCATGCTCCCACTTTGATTCGGTCCTGGCTTTATGCCTTTTTATTGCTTTCACTTAGAACAGATCGAGAGAGATCTCTGGATTAGCTTTTGCGTGGACGGAAAACATACTACTGGTCGAAAGACTATCTGTAAAATGAGTTATGTTGATTTTACATATCACCAGCCTTGGATCAAAAGTCGTCCTTTCTGTCTCCTCATCTATATCCTGGCCATTTTTATAATGTTTCTTTGTTATTTTTTTTTATTACCGTCTTTATCCATGGCGGACAGTACTTCTAGTAAGTCCTCTTGCGATAGATAGATTTCGACTGATCTCATCGCCAAATCCAGTTCCTCGGCGTCGATTGTACCTCCACCATTGCTGTCAAAGAGGTCGAACACCTCCCTAAAGGCTTACCAGGATATCACTGTATTAGATGAATATTCATAGCCTCCCTTCTACTCATTTGCACTCGTGGATGCTTAGTTGAAGAGTTATGGATAATGCCATAAGCGCTTTTCGATTGAATGTCGAAAACCATAACCAATGCAATATATGTAATCACAACCGTCAATCAAAGGAAAATAAAATACCTTTATGAGCCAACGAAAACCCCAAGTAGAACCACCCAAACTGCCTAAAGCGCAGTAAAACGTGGGCGACTAAGTGGTGAGTGTTTTTTGTTTTGTATCTAATTGGTTGAAAAAGTGAAACGAGTTTTCTGAACCAATCACAGAGCAAACCAATGCAATCTCGGATCACTAGTTTCAAAGCTACGTTGAATATCGCCTCATATCTCTTGAATAAACTACTTTCCAGCGGAAGGCGCTGACAAAAAGATGAAATGTAAAGTGCATTCATCAAGCAAAAAACCAAAATTAAAGTTACCTAGGTATCTTTTCCGCCCTAATTGACCATCGAGGAGCCAATAAGGATTGGAGCTAAGAAAGAACACTACCTTAACCGCGGGAAAAGGCTAGTGACCTTGGTGCGATTCGTTTGACTCTTGCATCCGATTGGTTGAGGAGATAGTGCGAATTTTTTTAACATCAATTATGGAGAGAATCTGGTGATACAAAACCACTAGAATTCTGGATATCTCTGATACAAAGTTGTCGTTTTTAAGTCCTAAAATAACCTGAAAATGCATAAATTCTTACTGCGCGCCACAATTTATCAGAGGTAAAATCCGACGAATAGATGCTCATTCTTTACCTGTGATCTGTTGTTCTGTTAATGATGGGCAAGGTGTGTCTCCTCCACTTAATTCATGCGGGAAGTCTTCAGCTGATGAAGATACCATACCAAACGTAACGGTTTCATGTGAAAATTGTGGTGGAGGCTCGGGCATGGCCGTGGCCTCTTCCCTCTTATCCAAAGTAAAAGCATTCCTTCGAATTCTTTGCATTGTCAGAAGATTGCATTCAAAACTATTTTGTCCAAGCAATTACATTTTTCAGCAGTTCGGCTCATCAGAGCTCAGTTTATCTAACAGCTGACATCGACCCTAACTTCGGCTGTCTTAATTGGCCCATTAGCTTTATGACGTCATCAAACCGCGCTCTCAGAGAAAAATTTTTCTTACAGGGTCTTTAGATTATACTGAGCAATAAAAAGCGACGAGTTTTCTAGTTAAAAGCGATGGAAATGAAGACAATATACTTTACTTCTGGTTAAAAATTGAAATGTAGAAATTTTGATTTTAATGTGGTTATACGGTCTTACGGCTTATTTTCTTTCAAGGAATTCCATGCGGCGGAATGTCGTTGGAACATTGACATAACTTTGTTTACAGTTTCAGCATCAAAGTGACGACGTTTACCACATACTAATTCAAAAAGAGCATTTTCTAGGCATTCGTGTAGATCAATTTTGCCCCTGAGTTAATGACGTAATCGATTTCAAAACCTCGCTCCAAGGTGTGGACCTCGGGAACGAGGCTGTTAATTCCCATGCGATCTCTCATTGGAGAAATGTACGTCACGGTTAAAATCCGGCAAACACTTTCCTAACCCTTGTTGTCTGTGTCATTCCCCCCTCCCCTCCATCCGCGGGAGAAGGGACCATGCTCCTTTGTCCGATTAACCGAATTACAAAGAAATAGACCTTCGTGGCTTACTGAGTTATTTGAAAACCTGTAATGACAGCATATGAAACTTTAAATTCTTTTCTCTAGTGCCATATGAAAGTGAAGGAAAGTTCGTCCTCTATTTCAGATTGTTTCATCTTGTGCAATAAACCTCAAACGAAGCGGTCAATTGACAGATTTAAGGGAGTTGGGTGAGGGCACCATCCAAAATCGACTTTTCCATATTTCTCAACGCCAGAGGTTTTCTCTCCAATAACCACATTATAATTTGTTTTTGCACTTAACTGAATTTAATCAGCGCTTAATGCCCGCCCTCAGCTGGGGTCAGTGATAAAAATAAGAGTAGAAGGGGGTCTTCTAAAGAGGTCTATATCATTTTCAGTGACCTTGAGGTCGGATCTTTATCATCATTGTACTGAACAAAGCCAGGCCGACGTATATTTCTCTGTCCGTTAATTTTAATTTTCACGCAATAAAGTAATGATGCTTGTACTTCCATTAGAAGGTGAAAGAGTAGTCCAATATATACATTGAAAATACTGGACTGGTAATACATCATTTTAATTGGTTCGTTTACTTAACAGCCCCTTACAACTGTTGCATCATGTAATATATAGTTTCTTTCCCTTTGCTAAACAGTAATTTCTTCTCTCATTAAAGTGCTAGCTGAAAACCAGCAGATTGGAAAAAAAAGTCATTCGCTGCGCCAGACTTACTCGTTAACTTTGTCGGAAATCTTCGTCCGAGAGTCAAATAGCAATCGATAATTATTCGTAACGTGAACTTGAGGCTGGAGCCAAACTAAACACATCGTCTAGCCTGGCGGGGTGGAAAACGAAGCTGACAAACACGATGTTTACTTCCCAAGCATTCTTTCTTTTCGTCTCTGTTTTCCTTCAGGTGGCTAAATATTCTTCAGGTAAGCAATTTTCATGTACTGTGGACGTTAAGTTATACATGTTGATGTGTTTTGAAAGTTGGATAATTTTGATTGCATATCTAGCCGCAAAAACGTTCCTCGCGATCGTAGTAAGGTTCTTGTAAGTAGCGAAGTTTTCAGACACCAATATCATTTTGTAGAAACTGAGATTTGTACGCTCTCTGCGGTGATATTTCATAACTTCATCGAAGAGAATACTGAACTGTTAAAGGGATTTTCAGTTTTTAGCTTGTACAAACCCGAATGTTTCGATTCAGCTGTCTGGCAGACGGATATCCAGACGTAATGAATTTGAAAGTTGTGTGCTATATGAGTAATCTGTGTTTGGAGTATACAAATTCTTTGTGTATTCAGTGTGTCATGTTCGATCTCTCGGTATCGCTTGTTTTAGTCTAGTTGTTGGGGTATCTAGATGTTACTCGGTAGAAAATTGGAGATGTGTCTGAAATTCCGTTGACATCATAATTGTCATAAAGTTGGCGCTAGCTCGAATCTTTCTCTCGAATTGTCAAGAGTATTTTTTACTTTCGGGTGTATTTTCAAACTGACGGTTCAGATCTTCGTTTACTTCCAATCATAACTGCTTAGTTAAACTTTTCGATCGACATTTTTGTAGTGTAAAAATGCGAGTTAATGATTCAAAACAGTTTTATAGTTTACGCGAAAGTATAATTCACTGCTTCTTCTCTCCTGAATATTCGTACACTATCCAGAAACAGTGATGTCTGCATTGATCAAAACGTCAATATGGAATCTTCAGAGCTATTAAATATTCTTACGGGACAGCGAACTCGTGTTTTTTTATCAACAGTTTCTGCATTAGCATTCCCTTCTGGCCGGAAAAATATTAAAAAATCCCATCAGATATTCCTTTCGTGAGGGAAGCCTTCATTTTCACAACGTTTTTTTCTATGCTTTGGTTAAGTAATTTGTCTCTCGAGGGTATGTTTGGTCTTTCTCTAGCAAATAAGAAATCTCCCTCTTTTGTTTTACTGTACCCCTGCCATGCTAGTGAAAGGTGACTGTCACTCATTTTATTGATTAATATTGCAAATACCTAGAGTGAAAGAAAAAAATTACTGCAGCAGCAGTTTATAAAATTGTGAGATTTTATAGTGAGTGAGTAACTTTCCTTGAGTGCTATTTTCAGCAAAGTTAAAACTTGTTTTCATAAAAGATAGTATCGGCTTACAAAAATATTGGATTAATTTATTGATCATAGTTTCTTTTCCTCTGTACCACCCCCTGTTAAGTGTTATATAATTTTCACACTACCTCAGATGTGATCACTCTTTGGGCACAGAAAAAATAATTTTTGTCTTCACTCAAAGTCCTTACTTGATGAGAATTTCTGCAAAAATGTTTGAAGCTCTGTGTCCAGATCATCAATGCTTTTATCGCAATAAAAGGCTACGAGTCACCTTCTTGGTGGCTGATAATTTTTATTGGCTTTGACATTGTTTAGTGTAAATTGTATCCTGTTTGGATTATCTTAAAAATATGAATTACTCCTCAGGGCTTTATTTGCCAAATTTAGACCACACAGAACCATGGTTGTGGATCCTAAAAGGGTCTTTAGATAGTATTGTGGAAGAAGTCATGTAATTAGGGCAGCAATATAATTTTAATTGTAGTTTTTTCCATTATGTTCTCTCTAAGTCTAATTTTCAAAGTGCTTTAGGCCAGATTTCTCACTTATTAATTGATGAAACCAAATATACCAGAAATAGCCTTAACCCTTTAACTCCCATAAGTGACCAAGACAGAATTTCTCCTTACAATATTGATAGAATATCAGGAAGGCAAGTGATGAGAACTAAGAAGAGTATCAATCAGGGGATTATTAGTTGATCCAATACCAAATTCTCAGAAGTAGCATCAGACGAATTGTATATTAGACAGTAAGGAGAATTACTAATGAGATCTTGGGAGTTAAAGGGTTAAGTTTATCATTTTTGTGGTAGAATTTTTTAGTTATGATGCATTAATGTGCCTAGGGTACCAACATACTTTAATCTGTGTTGCTGAGAAGAAGTCAAAGTGTTATTTAAGGGTTAATGAATTATTCACATGAACATTAAACCTTGTTCAATAATTCAAAAATTCTTGATGTTGTCGCAGGTAACAACAGGTTACAAAAATTAATTTCTTGGCAAGATTATGAATATTAAATAGTTTTGTTACCATTCCTTGTAATTTCTCATCGCTGATTAAAATGCCTTGCCAGTTGCAAACCTGTCCCTACATTCAGGCTCTTAAAAAGAGCACCATTAAGTTGTATATTGCAATCTTTGACTTTCTTCTGGTGATAGTCTTTATTAAATACCTCTTGACTAGAGGTTGATGAATCATGCTTGACAACTTCATGTCGTTAAGTATTCATGTATATTCATGCAATTGTTTTGGTTCATCTGTGAATCAGTGGGGTTCTTGTCGGATTTCTAAAACATAAGTTAAGTAAACTGCCTCGCGTATGCAAATGGAAAACGGCAAGAATTGAACTTTTTCATCCACCTTTCAGCTTTTAGAGCAGTAATATAAAAATATCTGCATTTATCGTAATAATTCTAATTATTATTGTAATTAGAAGATATTTGTGTATTTCTCTGTTGGACTATTGGATAAGAAGAAAAGAAGGCGAAATTTGCCATTTGCGTTTGCGGTAAGCTAGATTAAAATCTTGTTGATTTCTTCCACACACTCTCTGCGTCATTCTGTCGGATGAGCATTCTAAGACAAAATACTTTGATTGGTTTTCTCTCCAAATGATCTAAGTTTATTTACCGAAAGTTTTCTCTTTTCTCTTTCAATTGGAAACTAGCAGTTAACACTTTAGAACCCTCCTTAAAATCTTACTCTGTCGTGCCTGGTCATGCATAACACTATCAATACAGGCATCATGGTAACCCAGGGCAGACTGGAATGTGATTGGTTTTCCTTTTGATAACAACAAGTGAGCCTTGGGAGAGATAAAACAGAAAAAACTTGAATGCATGAAATGTCTGCAGTCATTCTTTGGAATTCATGCTTCACACTAGCTGGTGAAAGATAGCTGTGCATAAATTAAAATGTCAATAACAAGAAGTGAAACATGAACTTTGGCCTACAATCATCAAATATGCTCGTTCAAGGTCTCTTTTTAAAACTCTGAAAATGCTCTGTTTTAATAAATACAAATCAAACTTGAGAACATTGAGCAAAAAACCTTGAAGGCATAAAATGTTTTTAATCATTCTTTGGAGTTCATTGACTAGTCAAAACAAAAAAGGTTACACTTGGCGACACTACTGCTTGAGGTCGCGTAATTGCACTATTTTTTCATTCCTTTGAGTCTTCCGCCAAAAAATCTCACCTTTCCTAGAACAAATGAATCCAAACTTAGTCATTACACTCTAGGCGGTTCTATGTGGCCCCCCAAAAGGGAATACCCAAAGGAATAAATCAAGCCCTCTATGCACAAAATCCAGCAGTAACACCCACTCCTGAATGACACACTTCAATTGATATGAAGTGGTACTGTGTGTGAGTATAGCAAATATTCAGACAATTATACACTGAATGTTGTCAGTGATATTTTGAACAAAATTGAAATTGTATTATTGCAAAATATACTTGCCAATTTTCATGCGTTTTGCTTAATTTGCGTGTTCATGCATCTGTTAATTTTTTTATGGCTGCTTTTTAAGTTCTCGTGGATTAAGTTGCAACCACCTTGAATGTCAACTTTTTGCTATACTGTGAAATGAATACAGTCATGCAGCATTATTTTTTGGGATGAATTTTGTGTTTTTTTGTAAGTGACTTCTGTATCAGAATCCTTAAAGGGTAAAGGTGTCTTTTAAGCAAAAGGGGTTAAGGTTCTAGAGAAACCATGTGGCTGTGTTGTTGGAGGAGAATAACAAGATAATTCGGTGTGATCAACTGAGTTGATAATCTAAATTGGTCACCTTAAGGAGTATTTAAAGCTGACTAATGATGTTCTTCTCTAAATAAGTTGATGGTTTTTTTTTTTTTCTTTATTTTGTTATACAGGTGAAGCTAATTTGACACAGACACCAAGTACTCCCCATCAAGGCATAGAATGTGAATGCAGTGGATGTGAGAAATCTCACTGCAAGGCAGGATTTGGTTGTTTCTCTTCAGTTAAACCAGATAAACAGAACCAGGGATATGTTGTGAAACGGGGTTGTATTGAAAATCAGAGTCATTCCATGATTATCTGTGACCAGACAAATCTTCCCACTGTCTGCTGTAGAGAAAACATGTGTAACCGGAATGTGACTCCATCAGTTTCACCAGGGTGGCTAGGTATGTTTTACATCTGCAGTAGCACTCTGTTGTATTTTAACCCTTTAACTCCCAGAAGTGCTTAACATGTAACTTCTCCTTACAATATCCATATATGATCCAGCGAACAGGTAATGAGAATACACAAACTTTTCAGGCTGTTGTTATCTTGATCTAACATCACATTCTCATAACTAATTCATGAGGAAATGTGTGCCTGCCAGAGGAGAGAATTGAAAATCAGATCTTGGGAGTTAAAGGGAAGCTTGATCCTTGATTCTCAATTTTTTATAATCTCAAAAATCGAAGTTTGATGTGAGACTTTCAAGATGTAAAACTGATCCTACACAAGGAGAAATTATAACGCAGAAATATCTAGCAGAATTTAAATTATGGTGAACCCAGATACGGCAAAAAAAACTGAGAAAATGTTGATACAGTATGAAAATGTAAATGAGAATGCAAGACACTCATTAATGTAAGAGTGAGATCAGTGTAGGTTGCCGCTTGGTCCTGTGCCGTGACCACTTTTAACCCTGTAACTCCCAGAAGTGATTATAGTGAAACTTCTCCTTCTAATATCTGTACATTTTTCTGCAAACAGGTAATGAGGATATTCAAATTTATTTGGTAGAAGCTGCTATCTTGATCTAGCACCAAGTTCTCATAACTAATTTACAAGGAAATGGGTAGCAGTTAGAGGGGAGAATTAACAATCAGATCTTGGAGTTACAGGGTTCAGTATTTACCCCGTTGCACCATACATATTCTCCTTATGGTTCTACTGACATTTTTTAAGGTGATGACAAGGAGAAATTGTTGAACAATCAAAAGCTTCCTTAATTGATGATCATTTCCTTTATTTTCATTATCTTTTTTTGTGATTTGAGGGTTATATGGTAAGGAGAAATTAGTTGCTGGTCGCTCTTTAAGGGCCAAAGGGTTAAATGAAGTCTGCTGATTTTGATTGAAAGGTTTTCCTTATTTCACCTTACAGCCCAGAAAAATGTGACCATTTCATCAACTCCATACCATCAACTAGTTGAATGCAAGTGTAGTGAATGCAAAGATTCTGATGGGAGATGCTATGCAGAACTGGGCTGTTTCTCAGTGCTCAAGCAGGATGAGAATGATAATTATGTTGTATCAAAGGGCTGTTTTGAGAATGCGTTGCATAGGAAGATAAATTGTGAGAATCCAGTGACTCCAGCTGTCTGTTGTGAGGAGAATATGTGTAACTGGAATGTAACCCCAACATTTCCAACAAAAAAATCAAGTAAGTGTTAGTTACTCATTATTGACAGTTGTGGAGGAATTTTTCTGTGCATGCATTAGAAATTGGCAGAACTATTGCAAAAACTGGAAACTGATCAGAAATGGTTTGAAAATAGAGTAGGTAGTAATGTAATGTGCTTGCGAATTAGACATGTATTTGGATTTGTTTTTACTTACAACCTACATATTAGAAGACAGACACAGGGATGATGTCACCATTAAAAATGTTTTGTGTCTTCATCATGCCATATTCTTGAATAAGCACCCACACTCTTATAATTACCATTTCCCAAATAAGCACCAACCCCCTAAGCCATAATGTCAAATAAGTGTCCCACTGAAATAAATGCCCCCCCTCCTCCCTCACTTTTTTAAATAATAGAGATAAAAGGAAAAACTGTTTCTATTGCCACTTTATTTACAACTTTTAAGCTTCAACCAAAGCGGCAATAGTGCAAAAGAATAGTTTCTTTTCCATTCAAATTACTTCAATCTATCTTCATGTGCTTGCAGAGTTCCTGCTAGTTATCTGTTCTTTTAATATTTTTTCCTACTGTTGGGCCAACATAATATTAGCACCCCCCTCGATTAAGTATCTTCCAATGAGCACCCTTATTTGAGGAAATACAATATTAAACAAATAGATTCTGTGTTGCCACATGTCTGTTCAAGTCCTGTGCACCTTTTGTACCACTTTATGGCTCTTACAACTTTATGACTTAATCTTTGATCTACTACAGGCGCATGGCAACATGGGATCTTTTTGTTAACCCTTCACACACTAGCATCAGTATGTGTATTCTCCATAGAGTTCTTTAAACATTTCTTAAGGTGCTGACAAGGAGAATATGTTTGCCAATCAAAAGCTTCCTTCCCTGGTGACCATTTCCTCTGTTCTCATAACCTTATTGTGCAATTTAGGGAGAAATTAGATGCTAGTCACTCTAAGGGTGTAAAGGGTTAATTATGAATTATTTTATCTGTAAAAATTTCAACACTGAATTATAGACAGTTCTTTTAAGGTTGATAAGTCTAATGAATTAATTTACCCATGATTATTATGTATAACTATGGTACTATTTTTTCCTGTTTAGCTGCATCTACTCTTGCCAGATTTGGGAAAGATGAACGTACCAACTTCATCTTGTTGAGTATTTTTGCTCCTATAGCTGCTCTTGTGGTCGGCATTGTACTTGTCTGTGTTGTATATCAGCTGTTACAAAAGAGACACTTAAAAAGTGGCAGATACCCAAATCTTAGATATGCGCGTCATTCAGCTGCACCTCATGAAGATGGCAGCTGTAATGGTAGAGAGTGTGGTAAATGTAATGGGTCTGGAGCATCAAAATTTGCTCAGCGCACAGCTGCTCAGGATGTGGACTTAATTCAAGTCATTGGAGAAGGCAAGTATGGAAAAATATGGCGAGGAATCTGGCATGGAGATGATGTTGTGGCAAAACTGTACCTACCTAGTGAGGAGAAGTTCTTCAAGAATGAAGTGGATGTGAACAACAAAATTGGAAACCATGAAAACATTCTTAGAGTGCAGCATTGCCACACTGCATTTACTTGGAACAAAGCAACATACAGATGTATTGTGATGGAATTTCATGAAAATGGGTCGCTGTACGACTTCCTCAGTTGTAGAACTGTCAACACTCAAGAAATGTGTTCTTTAGCTCTCTCGGCTGCAAGGGGCTTGAATCATTTGCATGGTGAAATTTATGGACGGAAGGAAAAGTACTCCATTGCACATTGCGACTTGAAATCCAAAAACATCATGGTGAAGTCAAATCTGACTTGTACAATTGGAGGCTTAGGATTGGGTGTGGTTCATGATAGATCTCAAGACAAGATTATTACAGAGAACAAACGAAGGGGAACCCCACGATACATGTCTCCTGAGCTGTTGGATGGCGGAGTTTTTAAATCGTTTGAGTCTTATAAAAGAGCTGATGTGTATTCACTTGGTCTTATTTTGTGGGAAATAACCAGGAGAACCTTTACAGAAGGTAAACTTTCTTGCCTAAACAATTTATATATGTACAGATGTGTATACTGTAGTTGTTAGAACCTGATAGTGCATTTGCAAGTCCCTCGGCTTGCATGAAAAGAAGTGTCCTGAGACACAATAATTCCCTCTCTTATTGTTATCTTGCATTTATAAGCCTGCAAATAAAATTCAACTCATTCCTTTGTGTCTTCTTTTATTTAAGGCATAAGACCAGAGCAGTATGAGTTGCCATTCTATGACATGGTGCCCTCAAATCCTACATATGATGACATGAAGAAAGTTGTTAGTGAACAACAGAAAAGGCCACTGGTTCCTAACAAGTGGACTGAAAACAGTGTAAGTAATCAGTTCTTTTATGCAGATTGGGCATAATTGTCAATTTATTGATAGAAAGAAAGAAAATGCTTTATTCCAAAGGTCAACAAGTTTCAGAACTTCCAATAGTTATAAGTAGCTTCTAGCTGTTTTGCTAGATTAGGTTACAGACTGATGTAGGTCTTTTGCTACAACATCAGTTGATAAACATGTCAATAAACTTCTTCTAGTGTCCACAATATTATACAGATTGTAACAAACTCACTGACTGTTTAGCACTTCTCCTTAAACATCCAAATATTCAAATCTTATACACAACTAACCAATGTTTGAAGCTCCACAAAGTCTGTGTCAAGGGGAACACTAATGAACAGCCAACTGAATTTAAAATGGGGTTTACAATGCTTGTTGTAACATTTTCCCGTGACAGCGGGGTAGAAAAGTAGAAAAGTAATACGCCTGCAGTGGAAAAATGGTAGCTTTGAACTCTTTTCTCCATTTAGCTGCTTTTTAATCATTCAAAATCATTTTAAGTAAGCCTAGAGCTGTTAATTTTTTTCCTTGGAAAGGATGACATTTGCATCATGGTAATTGGTATGGCCCTCTGAATGATGGAATTAAAGTTCACCTGAATTTATCAACCCAGTTTGGTTTACATTTTCTTCTGGTTCAAATTATGAAAATGAATTCAAGACCAAGGAAGATGTGAATGAAAAGTTACCATCAGACAGAACTTTCTGTCTGACGTAGCAAAAGAAGTTCTGTCTGACGAGCGCTTAGGTGCAAAACTCAAGAGTAACAGAGAATCGATGCATCCTCTTTGATTCTTTCACTTGTATGTATATCAGTAATTGTCATAAAATTAGCAGGTAAACATGTTGTCTACATTCTTTGTATCAACCTTCATTTCCAGGGACAGTGACTCAGTGATAGTAAATCAATGAGAATGAGGGTTTTTATTTGAGCAAACTACTTTTGCAGGCACTCGAGGTCATGGGAAAGTTGATGAAGGACTGTTGGAAACAAAATGCATCAGCACGTCTGCCATCACTCAGGGTGAAGAAGACCTTGTCAAAGCTTATGGAAATGCTTAAGCCAGCCCCGATAAACACATCATTGTCTGAGTCAGAAGATTCGTCAGCTCTCCAAGATGTCAACATCCACATCCCTGAGACATTAGAAATCATCAAGGTGTAATTTTACAGAAGACATTACAAACGAAAGATTATTAATTGTTTCAATCATCGCAGATGTTCACCTTTTCAAAAGTTATGGATTTCACTCATTTAAAACACACACACATCACTTTGAGCTGGTTTGCTCCTAGGGTCATGGAAATGTTGGTCAATAAGACTGCACTCAACGCTGAATATCATATTTTTCCTAATGGAAAAAAGAAATGGAAAAAAGTGGCACAATGAAAACTGAGAAAAAAGGGGAGCATAATCCTTTGCCATTTTTGCTGATTTTAGTTTAGTGCTTCTTTGTTTTCTGTCCTGCTTGTACACTAGTTGCTGTCTGCATAAAAATGCTGACCTTTCTTAAGCCAATTTGAACACAGTTTCAGCCCCTACAATAAGGTGACCCCCTTGGGAGCAAAAATGAGTATTTGAGGGTTCTCTTCTGATTGGAACCATTACCTCATGTATGAACATTCTTTCAGCTGAACCTTAATGATTAAGTACATTTGGCAGGCAATCCCGCTAAAGTATAACCACTTCCAATGGGGACAAGCAGAGTTTTCTGTCCTTTTAAGTCCAAATAGCGTTTTCTTTTTCAGACATGGCAGCATATGGCATAGATTGTTATTTGATGTCTTATTTTGCAAGTAGTTCATCTCTGCTCCAAACTAATATTCTCCATACTGTTCTCTATACATTTCCAAGTTACTGACAAGGAGAATTTGTTAAATAATCAAGAGCTTCGTAAGTTGGTGATCATTTCCTTTACTCCATTGACCTTAAAGTTTGATTCAGGGGTGATATATTGTAAGGAGAAATTAGATGCTAGTCTAAAGGTTTATGAAACTTCCTCCATCTCGATAGCCTTGGATTAAACTACTGTAAATTTGGCTCACTAAAAGTTGTCATCCTAAGGTAGTTATGGTGGTTATATGTAGATTATTGATCAAGAGTTTCACTAAGGTTAGAGCATGCTACTGGTGGCAAGTCTCAGTAATATAATCTGCAGGCTAGTTGTAGTAATGAATTGTGGATAATTTTTGTGGAAATCCTGCTTTTGATTGCACTAAGAAATTGATTTTTTAAGGAATAATTGTGGAAGTACTGTAAAGGGTTTATCACAGTGACCTGTTGTAACATTTTGTTTCAGAGGTGCCTTTGACTAGAAAATGTTGAAGCCAGTTGCTTTACGTGAAACAGAGTTGTAAGTATTTAAAATATTGTGCTTTTGCACTTTAAAGATATTGGAAGTTGTTGTATGTTGATTTAAAGTGCAGAGGTTATTGTTGCAAATTACACTTGATTTGAATCAAGGTAAAAGAACAGGAAAACATAGTATTTTAATCACAATGAAAATATTTGCATGGCAAGATGTGAGAAAACATGTAAGTTTTTGGATAGACAATTTCCAGACATTTTGATACTAACAATATTATTCTTAGTTGTAAAGGCCTGTGGATAGTTTAAACAACTGGTTCTACAGTTTAGATATTATGCACACGCTTGTATATTATTACTGAAGCAGCAAACAAATAATTTCTTGCATCTGGTTACATACAATGCAATTTATTATGAGGATTTAACTACAACTGAGGTTAAACGGTGAAATTTTATTGACCTATCTGTATAATTACATGTCTGCTGAGTTACAAATCAATCCACGACAAAATTAGTTGAATTATAACAGTTGTAGTGGAGAATTAATCCTTTTAAGTGAACTGCAGTGAAATAAATGATGAAAAGGAAGTTTGAAAAATTTTAGGCTTGGAGGTGATTACAACTCATGCCTCCCATTTACTAGTTTGGCGTCACTACCAACAGAGCAACAAAGCCTCGTGTTGGGGGTGAGGCAAATTCGAAAGGTCTTGTACTTTTAGTAGGTTCTTGGTACCTGAAAGGGATCTAATCACATTCAAATGTAATAAAAAGTTCTTTAACACTTACGCACAAATGTAGCAACTTCCAAGGAGGTATTAAATGAGGTTTATAGTAAACAAGAAGTTTCTGCAACACCCTCCTTCCACTAGGAGGAATTAAGAACTGAAATTTGACATGAACTTCAGTTCAGTACAATACCCCCCACACACACACACACACACACACACACACACACACACACACACACACACACACACACACACACACACACACACACACACACACACACACACACATGCCCCTCCCCCCCCCACAATACCCCCTCCCTCTTCCTCCCCCCCACACACCTGCACACGTATGACGATTTACAGTCATAAGGATCCAGTGAAGTTCAAACACACACACACAATGCCCCCCCCCCCCCACACACACTTGCACACGCATAACGTTTTACAGTCACAGGGAATCAGTTGAGTTCAATTCAGTTTAAAGTGGTATGAGTGATTAACAATCAGACGACCGTGAAAATTAAAAGAAGTCCGATTTGTTAAGCACGTCGAGTATTATTAAATAAAGAATTAAGCGACTCAGAATCTTGTTGCCAACCAATCAAAACGACGACTAATTTAGAGAAACCGAACCAAACCCATAATTAAATCAATTCTTAACAATTGACTTTTTGGACTCGATACGTCCTATAACAAATTGAACAGTGTGTTCCAAATACACAGTTGCAGTTACGTACTTGGATAGGAAGTCTGTCGTGTTATATCTCGTGGTGCGCGTGCTATAATCAGTCAATTTAGCGGGCCATATTTCACTGTACAGCCCGCTAAATTAAAAAATTTGTTTGAATTGAAATCTTTGCCCTCTATTTGAACTCAGGATATAATAAAGATCCTTCTAACCTCGTTTTCTCGATATGTGCGTTAAGTTATGGATCCTCGCTTTTTCCTGCACGTATTTATGGCTCGAGCACAAATTGCGCGGGCGAGGGATCCGAGCGGAAATACTCGGTCCGTAACTTGCATTACGGACCTCGAATTCTAGCTAGTAATAATTATCTATTCCAAATTCAACTTAAATAAATATATGAAAAAAAATCGGAAAAAGACTGCGGAACATCGCTTCAGCCGAAAGACTGAAATTGTTAAAACTAACAGACAAGTCCATTTTTTGAGTTAAGGCATGCACCCTTAGTCACATAAGTGTCCCAAATCATTTTACGTTGCCGGTTACTTCGTCCGAAACTTTTTAAGATGGCCAGCCATGGGACGCCTTTGCAGGTGATGGTATGAAATTCCAGTAAAATGTAATAGCTTTTAAGTTCGATCTTAAGTTGTAATTTTTTTTGAAAAGTCTGCAGTAAAAAAAAAAAGAAAAGAAGAAAATGATTGCTAAGTTCCTTTCCATGCGATAGTGTTGTCCGATAGCAGAAGTCTTCACCAGCCAACACCTATCAGGGGCAAGGACATTTTGCGCCATCGCGGTTGGGAACCCAGTTCTGCTGAGATATTTTCAACTTTTTTGAAACTGTCTTGAACCTAAAAGAAATATCATTGTGCGGTTAACAATTTGCCAATGGCTGTTGACATCATGCAATATTTTACGAGTTGTACTCATGAAGAAAGCATCGATAAACTCTTTCACTTCCAAGATTTTGGATATCAATTCTCCACACTGTCCGGCCGCCAAACATTTTTCTATAGATTTAGCTCTGAGAATTTTGCTCAGCCCTCTCTCCCAGAAATGATTAACATTTAACTTCTCCATAAGCTATCCATACATTATCTTGATCTAACGCCGAATTCTCGTAACTATTAAGAAGGAAATGTGCAGCAGCTAGAGAAGAGAATTAACAATTAGATCCTGGAAATGGAAGGGACATCAAGTCTATTAACTCTATAAAACATTTATCGAAAATACTCAAACTTATCAGGAAGAAGTTGATATTGTGATCTCACACCAAATTCTCGTAACTATTTGCAAGGAAAGGTGTGGCAGTTTGTTGGGAGAACTAATAATCAGATCTTGGAAGTAGAAGGATTAATCAAATGATTATTTTCATTCTTCTCATCATCTCTTTGCTTGAAAATGTCTCAAATGTTGGGAAAAAGCGGAGAGACCCTGGTAATGAGACGCTCCAACTCCTGCTCGTGTTTAGACGCACTTTCGACACATTTTTGGAAATTTCAATATTAAGATATTAAACTCACTTTGATTTTTTGCATCTGGACCATCCCCACGAACCACATTTCTTAGTGTAGAATGTCTTGATTTTGGTGTACCCTGTTACGTAGTAAAATGTGGTTTCCTCCCGACAATCAGCTGGAAAAGTGACCAAGAGATCATTTCGGTCAGTTTTTAGCATATACGATAAAATCAATGATGACAGTTTACGAGCTGTATATCGTATTCGAAGAGCTCAGAGACAGCAAAAGCCAGAACAAACGAGATAAGCAATCGAACCCCACATGAATTTATCATCATTGTAAGTAGGGTTACATTGATATCAAAGTAATTTCAACCGAGTGTCGAAAGTAATCCTGCGTTTCTTTGGTCTTACGTACCCAACTTTGCTCTATGATTGGTACAGAAAACTTGCACCATCCTCTCAACCAATCAGATGCAAAGCTAGGGACAATTGTGACTTGGTCATTTGCGTTTTCCCGCCATACCGGCAGCTTGTTTGTTTACACTATGAGTTCTCATTGGCTACTGATGATGTAAACCTATGTGCCGATTGGGCGCTGGGATTACTTTGGTTTTGATTTTTCGACACTCAGTAGTCCATTTTACAGTGGTGTGCTTGGTCGCCGAGCTTTTGAACAGGATTAAGGCTTAGGTTCACCTTGTGATGATACAAACGTTGCTGCTTTCCAATGTAAATTACTTTGTTATCATGCTAACTAGATACTGGCCTGTATCAAAACATGGTCACCTTCAGCTTTACTCCGAATCAAAGGCTTGGCAACCAAGTACACAACTGTAAAATGGCCTATTGAAGACTGCTCTAAGGTAGTAAAGGTCATTTGTGGTGGGGGAACAAATGAACGAATAGATGAATGAAAATTGAGAAAAGTTGAGAAGATAATTGATGAAACTCAATCGAGTGAAATCGAACTCAATCCATTGATCGAGGTCGATCGTGTTCGATTACTAATCGTGCGATTGTATTCGATTAATAATCGTGCGATTGCGTTCGATTACTAATCGTTCGATTGGCTACTCCGAGAAAATAACACTTGCTATAACACGTTGCCTCAACCTAAAGCGTATATCATAGATTGCTTTTTTAATTTTTAGAATAATTTTCGATTGAGTGTCGAAAGTAATACAGGACTGCCTTGTTTTTGCTTTACTTCAGTCTTTAATTAGTCAAGAAAACTTGAGCCTTGCTCTTAACCAATCAGACGCCAAACGAAAACCAATCGTGACTTGATCGCCCGTGTTATCGCGCGCTTGCAAGTAGTTGCCTGTTTTTTACTTTCAGTCTTCATTGGCTAATGATGACGCAAACACTTGATAGGTGTTATTAGTTTGGTTTTAATTTAACGGCAGTCAGTTGAAAACTGCTCGGTCGATTAAGACTTTCATGGAGGAATTAATCTTTTAGCTTGGTTTTCTCCACCCACAATTAAATCAGTGCTGCATTAAGCAAAGAAGGAAAGGGTAAGGCTGAGTCTGCGCCATAGCCAAACGGCCCACCCTGCCGGAACTTATCTCCTGTTTCTCTTGCATGAAGCGACCAAGAGTGTTGCTACCACTTGATCTCGTAACCAAATCCTTCCGCATAACTGTAACTGAAATGTAGGCTTTGTCGTGGAGGTCTGGGTAGGAGATAAGTACTACCCCCTGGATGGATGCTACTCATTCCAGGTTACCGTTACCCCCCCTCCCCCTCTCCTTAGCAATTTGTCAAGCCTCTATGACAATTCACCTGTATTCATGTATACTCCTGCGTAGAGAGAGGCACTGTGAACTAGAATTAAGTAATGCGCTTAAAAACTCAACACATTGCCTCGGCTAAGTCTTGAACCTATACCTCTCGACCCACAGTATTAACCGGAAGCAAACCAAAAATGAGGATCCCAAGCGAATCGAATCCTGTAAAACAAGCCATTTTATTTTAGCAATTGCGGTGATTTTTAGGTCCTGAGTTGGACTTCATTTCCATACTTACGAAGGCATGTTCTTGTATCATTAGACATGTAGTGACAGAAGTGACACAGGCATTCGTAAGAATTGTTTGCACCCTTGATGATACAGTTGGACTTTGGTGGGCAGCTGTGATTGAATTCCTCATGACACTCTTCAATTTCCGAGCAATTATGGGGGCCTACATTCCTCCAACCAGACTGACAGATGCAATGGTAAGAACCCAATGAGTTCTCACACGCCGACTGAACCGGACAGGCACCAGGTATCTCAGTACACTCGTCCACATCTATGGGGATTTATATGATAAGCTGCATTATACACAAATTTTGATTGGTTCTTACTTATGATCTATGGAGGACAGATGCTTAGATGACGTCACCATTAACGTTAAATGTTAAGTGAAAGGTGAAATGACTCAAGTAGAACGATCTTGAATTTATTTATCACAAGCATGGAACAATGAGAAAAAAAATCTGAAGCTTCAATTAAAATTTTTATTACATTTCACTTCCTTTTAGCAGTGTGTCTTATAATTGCGTTGATGTAAACCTTTTTCCTATGAGTGTTTCGTGTCTCGTTTATTCCCTCGGCATTTGGAATTTATATCTTCTTCGCGTACGTATTCACGAGTAGTTCAATTGAATGCTAATTGACGTGTCTGATCGAAGCAGGCCCTTGCCTCTTCATAACATTTGCTAAAAATGCACGGGCAATTCTATGCTCTACAATTATACATGAGCTCCCAATTTCATTTTGCCATTCCTGAAGTGGATACTTAAATAGCCCTTCCTATCCCAAAGGCAATGAAACCGTAATTGTGTATAAAAGAGTGTTATGGTATTTTTCGACATGGTCTGTACCATTCATTAATTACCTCGTTCACAGTAGCTACCAGTCCACCCCGTTTTACACGAGCATGTGTAGTTCATTCTACGGTTGACACAGGTTGCACTGTTAACACACCGATTATCGCTGCAGAAGTCAGCAACTGAAAAATAAACAATGAAAAATTTAACCGTTACGTTAGGATACAAAGGCCATAGTCGACAGCAATTCAGATTATTTGATCAAAAATCATCTTTTTGTGCTATATTCAGTCTCACTGTTTTAGTATATGCTAAAACAACTATTTACCTCAGGGTTGGTGACTAGCAATGGATATTAACCTCGCTACATCGCAACTCGGTAAATAACCTCCACTACCCACCTCCACTTCGGTGAATAGTTGCTAATCAGAGATGTTTGGCCGTTAATCGAGGAAACTGGGTCGAGCATACCAAAGCGAGGTTTATCGGTAAACCTCCCGGGGAAGTGTTCTGTGACGCAATTCTCGTCTTTTTGGAGCCCATTTCACTTAAGTGTCGTTAAACCAAAACCAAAATAATCACCACTGTCAGTCAGAAAAGGCAAAAAAAAAAAAAAAAAAGAAAAAGAACTCAAAAAAAAAAAAAAAAAAACCAAACTGCCAAGTGGCGACCTACTTTAGCTTTGAATCTGATTGGTTCAGAAAAATGGCGCTGGTATTCTGAAGCAATCACATAACGAAGTTGAGCATATATAAGAAGAAATCCCCGATTGCTCACGAAACTCTATTGAAAATTGCTTTCTATCTTGGTTGTGTTTGACTTGGGAAAAATTGATGGTTTCTTTTTTTTATTGCAATAATTGCTACTGGTCTATTACTTATCAGAGTCTCCTTTCTAGTTGCTATAGGATTCACCGTAAGACGGATGAGAGAATTTTGTGTCACATCATAATAAACAACTGTTATATTCTGTCCTGCTAGATAATGTATGGATCTCAGGGAGAAGTTATTTTTCAACCTGTTCTGGGAGTGTAAGGATTAAGGATTTGAAGTACTAACCTCCAGTTGTCATGTCACAGAGTACCAAAGTAGAGTTTCCAGATCTTGTGGGATCCAGCCAGTAGCTACCACTGACTGTGTGACCTCCTTCGTCCGCTTTAATCTCTGCACATGAGTCAGCTGGTAACTCAGGAATGGAACCGAGAGAAACTAAAAACACAAAATTTGCGGTCAAAGAAACACAAGCTCACTCTCAACGTTTGAGTGCTAACATCGCTGACAACTCTATTCGAGAATGGAGACTCCATCACTCGCGACTTTATTCGGTATTCGCGTGAATAAAAAGGAAAAAATCAGTTGAAAAAATTGATGTTGACGCGCTGCGCGGAACCCTGGGGGAGAGGCGCCTTGCGCGACGGACTTCGCCGACGAACTCGTGCGACGGGATTTACCGAAAAGGCGGCACTACCCGTAATCTAGATTTAACCAAGCTCGATCGTTTCAGACTAGCAAGTACGAACGAGAGGTCGCGCTTGAAGGTCTCTCACTGCTTGTCTCTCCCTTACACGCGTGTTGTTCAGCGCCTACTTCGTAAATTATTTATGTCAACGTTATCTGGTTTGTACCTTTATGGGGTTCTCGCACGTAATATCTGTTTTCATTTCTAACAAGGTCATCAGGTCTTGCCTCCCTGGTTCGGTTATTTAATTCGCATAACCTCTGAGACCAATCGTAGTTGTAGCTTTGACACCTGTAGTCAGTTGTGCAGGCCTCTTTACAGTCGAGTGATAGTGGTCTGGCCTTGACTGTCTTAAACGTATGGCCCCTGAGCATCCTTTGATAGACTGAGTAACTGTCTATGCCGCATTGCTGAGTGTTAACTTTGGAGAACATTAACGACAACAGAGATAGTGCTGAAAGAAATACCATGATCTTTCACCAAGATGTGAGTCGTTGATGAAGACACTTCCCTGCTGAATAAAAAATAAATAAAAAAAAAATTTTAAAAAATTTTTAAAAAATAATGACTTTATTGGATAACACAATTACTGGTAGAACCAGTAGTTCTCATTGTGGTCCACTAAAACTTCAAATTCAAATAGCGAAAAAAAAAGGAGTAAAAATACAGTTAAAAATTAAAAATTAAAAATGACAAAAGTGAAATCGAAGGAGAGATATACATTTCTAATAATCGCTATCCAGAACCTGTTTATTGTAAATATCTTATCATTCTCTGCACCTCTTGTGCTGATTTCAGACAAGAGAGAATGAGGTACAATATGGTTTCATAAAAAATAACCGAGTCGATTGCTGTTAAGTGTCGTTGATAAAAGGAATTCCTTACCTATATATTTTTGTCTAACACAGTCGGTTCTGCGAAGTAAGACTTGGACTAAAAAAACTTAGTTCAGCTTTCCAGTCAGTCAGATGAGAAATAGAGGGGATTGTACTGACTCACAGAATTGTCCTCCAAACAACAGCTAATTCCAGTGTTCTGTTTACTTGCCCATCTGAACTAAACGAATCAAATCATGTTGGGCGCTGGTCTCAAGATTTAGTTGAAGGGAAGTGGATGTTTCAAGACCGCAATTTACTCTGTGATAGTTTTGAATATGGTTACTGCACCTGTTTTGAAGGTGCAGCGTGCACTGTAATTATTAGCGCGTGCACTGCCATTGTTATTTTAATATTAATTAATATTAATAATTAATTAATATTAATAATTAATTAATATTAATTAATTAATATTAATTAATAATAATTAATATTTAATAATAATGTTATTTTTTTAGTTTAAAAACTCCATAGCTAGACTTGACTTAACAACATGAATTAAGAAAATTATTGAAGACCTGCACGAAGTAACAAAATAACGAAGTCAGAACTTTGCTTCTAAATACTTTATGAAGAAATGACGTGATGTTTGTTTAAATGTTTAAAATTCAAATACAAGATGATAATGGTTAAACTCTGGCCTACCTCAGTTAAGCCAAGAACTAAATTTTTTTTTCCCTTAAAAAGGAAAACACGCTTTCATACTTCCCCTGTTCGATGTTGATTCTGATTGGTTTAAAAAACAACGTACTTGTTGACAAAGATTGACTTAAATGCTCTGATACGCTCTTGTTGGCTCATGAACTCAGCTTTGAGGTCCTTAACACAAGGTGATACGTTTAATCACACAAATTCAGTTTAATATTGCTCAGTTCCTGGATACTTTATTGATGTGCATGTAACCAAGAGAAATAGAGAACTCTGTTTATGCCCAACCTTTTTTTAACCAAAAGATGCCATGGTGACACTCTAATCAACTCCTTTAATAACAGCTTTTGGGAATCATCCGGCCCTGCTGGCATGGTGATTAAAAACCACACAACCTAAATTTGTAATTATTTTTCAAATCCATAATTTTGATAGCGTCTTCAAAGATTTGCACTGCGCCATTCAAAAACTTTTCAGTACAGGATGTCTTCAAGTTTTTTTTTTTTTTTTTTTTTTATCTTTTTTTGCATTGAGGAGACACAATAATTTGTATTTTGTTTAAATATGAAGGAATTGGCCGAAACAACAACTTTTATGAGGCTTGTATACATAAAGATAATTATTCAATTGAATTAAAAGGCGAAATTTTGTCATAACAAAGTGCGCCAGGTGGAAGTGGGATCAAGTTACTTTTCGCGAAGGGAGGTTAGCTGGAAGACCCGCCGGTAGTTTCTCCTTGGAGTATGTTAAGCCAATAGATTATTAAGGGAATCAAGTATGGTTCTTAGGTATGTAAGGCGAGCTTTCTCATCCCTGCAACAACCTCGTTTGGACTCATACCACAAGTCTCTGAGTCTACTTTGTACCAAACTAAGGCAGGAGCGTAGAAATTAAAGAATGCAGCACAGAAAATAAGAATTGTGAGGTTTAAAAAAGGAAAGTGCGTGAGTGCTTTAAGACGGAGATTTTAAGAAAGAAACCACCAACATAAATGTAATCTGTTTTTCAATTACCATGCATGCACACGTTCGGTCGATTCTGAAAAGCTAAACAGTCTAATTACATACATATTTACCATATCCGCTTGGAAAGAAGCCATCTATAATCAATTGCGTGCGAGTATCCGAAGGAATTTGAATTTTCAGTTTACAATCGTAGAATTAGAATATAGGCTGTTTAACTTGAATAAGGAAGTACGTTTGGTGAAAATGAAATAAACAGCAAAAAAATGCGGTAGGTACTTTAATGCAAACCCTTCAAGAGATTTCACGCGACGGACGTGCATTTTATATTCATATGATGATCTTTAATTTTTTTTCCAGAATGAAGACGGAACTATATGAGACCATATTATTTCGGGCAGTAGACCACAAATCTTTTAGATAATTTACTGATATAGATGGGAACCGGTGGAATTTATTGTACATATTTTATTAACAAAAATCTCACTGGTGGTTGATGTCTAGGCGGAAAATATGATAATGAAAAATTTTCTTTGTCTTTCGGTTGAAACACAATCTAGAGTTGATAACAAGTTTATGAACCTTGTATGTGAATCTTGTATTGTTTACTTTTTTTTAGCACTATTTATCTGGTGTTTTCCCACGCGCAAATCATTAAGGCCTGGTTGCTCGAGGGACGGATAACTCTATCCAATGGATAAATCGCTATCCAGCATATGTGCGTTGACAAAACGTACTGCACTATCCAACTGATACAGATTCACTCAGTGGTTAGCGTTATCCACTCATTAAACTACCGCAGCCAGCATGATTAAGCCTTACACCTTCATTTCTCTCTCCTTAAGGTTGTCACTACCCCTCCCCTCCAAACTGGGGTCTACTATTCCACGGCTTTGTGGCCGACCTCTTGGAATTTTAACTTCTCCAAGTTGTTGTTATCATACGTATTGCACCACAATGTAAAAAAACTGGGCGTAAACCATGGATCGGACAGAACAAGGATCGAAGAATTTTTGTAACCTTATCACTGCCCCATCTTCCACAAAATGTTTCTAGAGATCGGGATTAAATTTGAAAAGTTCCACTTAATGGTGCGTAAAGGAAATGTGGAGAACCGAAAAAAATCTCTGAGGCTACGTCTCGTGTTTCTCCTTACACTTCTTTCGTGCTCTAGCCGCCTCCTACGTGCTTTGCAACAGAACAGAGCACAGTCAAGGCTTCTCTATTTGGTTCAGCATGGCGTATATTCTATTGTGAAAAGAAATCTCGTAAAAATCTGACAATTTAATTAAAAACAAAGAGTTTCCCTAAATTGTAATAACAAATAACTACTGTAGTTATAAAGTACGGTGGCCTGAAAGTTTCATTCTGTAACAAAAAAGTGGATGTCAGTATAGAGCCACAATCTTTAGTAGGTAGCATCATTTTGCTAAAGGTGGATGGTCTGAAATATTTTTGAACAGCGGATATCTCCTACCATGCTACTTGTGTCATGTAATGTAAAGTTTGTGTGCTGGTTTTAAAATGGCAGAAGAATTTGTAGGATGAAGTTGTGTAGTGTGCAGATCATATTTGTGACTCCGAAATCCGAATGTGTTATAAGAACTCAACGCTGATTAAAGGAGATATATGGTGTGTGGATGCAATTATTCGGGAGCTTCAGGGTCCGAAATATCTCTGGCTCGAACCAGCTATGTACATAGAATGATAAAGAGGAAAGTGAGTACGTGTTAAGTGTAGATCTGACCGTTTTATCTTCACATCAAGCTATGTTTTGTTTATCTGTGAGGCAAATAACGCCGACACATGTTTATGTGGCCATATACCAAGCTACTTACCAAGTGTGCAGACGGTCAGCCAATTAGTCAATCAGTCTGTCAGCCAATTAGTCAGGCAGACAGTCAGTCAGTCAGTCAGCCAGCCAATCAGTCATTAAGACAGCCAGTCAATCAGTCAGTCCGTCAGTCAGACCATCAGTCAAACAGGCAGTTGGTCAATAAGGTATATCAGGGCAGGAGTAAACAAGAGAGACAGTCAGTCAGTCCTTTTCAATCTGGGCTAACACTCAAAACATCAGCTTTAAAAAACTCTTCACGGTGGCAAATTCACATTATCAACTCAATTGATAAAACCAAATTATCTTGTTATCCCCCTCCTTCATAGACACAGCGCTACAGTTCCTGCAGAAACTTACCCCCTTTATTCATCAGTCAGTCAGTGTGTGTATCATTGAGTGAGTTTGCTGGTCAGTCATTTATTCAGGCAGTAAGTCATTAACCCTTTAAACCCTAAGAGTGACTAGCACCTAATTTCTCACTACAATATCATCCCTGAATCACACATTAAGGTCATGAGAATAAAAGAAATGATCATCAGTGAAAGAGGCTTTTGATTGGTAAACAAATTCTCCTTGTCAGCACCTCAGGAAATGTATTAAGGACAGTGTGGAGAATATGCATACTGATGTTAGGGTGTAAAGGGTTAAGATATATCAGTGAGAGAGTTTGTCTTTTGGTCCATTCTGTTTATTCATCAGGAAGTCAATCATTTGAGTGATCCATCTCTATAGCAACAGTGACAATTGATAGAGAGTATATTCTTTATTGTAGAATTGAGATATTTTGAATTTATTACTACATTATACCTGTATAACAGTCTTTTCAAATGTCAATTCAAGCTTCATAAGAAAGCAATTTAATTTTTGAGGATAAACTCTCCTTTCTCGATGAACAGAAACACCATAACTGCATGGCAATTCAATTAATCTTTAGAGAGCTAGGGTAATTTGTTTTACTAAATTCTAAATAAAAATTAATATTTATTCTTTGGTTTTGAGTATTTAATACGTAGTAAATGTAATAATTTCCATATCATACTGTATACTTGCAGAATGAAATGAAAACAAATGAGATAAATGACTGAAATTCAATGACTGAACTATGATTTGCATGGTAAAAATGAATAAAACCTTTTGATAACAAAACAGGAGCAAAACATTTATGTAGAAGTGATTGGTTGTATGAAATAAGGACTAAAATAAATCTTTTGTGCTTTAGAAGCAGTAATGTTCCTATAAATGTGTTGTGTAGAGTTCTTTCAATTTTTAGATGGTGAATTCTATTCCCCAGACTTGAGATGGTGAAGAAGGGCATGGTGACTGACCTGTAAACAGAAGGAATGAAAACCAGGTGAGATATTTATCTTAATTTTTCTATTAATTATTTAAAAAAAGTGACAAAACTTTAAAGTCTGTAATACATGTTTTGACAGAAACTTCTGTCATTTTCAGTTAATTAATGTACAAAGTGTTGGAAGTTGAATTATATAGTAAGTAGAACAATGCTAATTATGATAAATAATGACAACAAGAAAAGAGGTAAAGCATGAAAGTGTGAAAATTAAAGGAGTAGTTTTAGATTTACATGGTGTAATTGTTGATTCAAGGATGGTTGTTCTCTTTGAATATGAATAGCCTCTTTTATCTTAAGTTGAAAACTGGTAGAGGTGTGATCTAAAACATGGAAGTTATCTGCTGAACACAAAGCACGACAATGTGCAGAATCTTTCAGATGCTTGAAAATGAATCATCATGTCATTATTTTTAGGTGTCTTGATCTAAGTGCTATTCAAATATGACCATATCAGCACATAGTATATTGGTCAAAGATAGATGTTTGCTAAGCAACTAGTATGGCATATGTGGTACATTCCTTCCGAGAAGTGAATTCATTGATGCAAACCCTTGTTTCTTTTACTTTCAATGAGTTACGATCAATGAAATTTCATATGAACTTTTTTTCACCCTAACATCAAAATGCAGATTCTCTATACTGTTCTAAATCCATTTCCTAAGGTGCTGACAAGGAGAATTTGCTTGACAATCTAGAGCTTCTCTAGTTATTAATCATTTCCTTTATTCTTTTGATCATAATGTTTGATTCAGGGGTTACACTGTAAGGAGAAATTAGCTGCTAGTTACTCTTGAGGGTCAAAAGGGTTAAAACATGACTGAAAAATGCATCATTAGGATATTACAATACAACAAATATGTACGAAAAAAATCAAGTTTCTGAATAACCCCCGAAAGTTGTGACTTTCGAAAAGCACTTTGCTTGTTGGTGGTCCAAGACAAACTTGGTGAGGTTTTGCAAAAATTTAGACATAAAATGACCGAGAATTCTTACCTCTGAAAAGGTTCTTCCTTGTTGCATCATCGGCTCCTAACTCGTGTCCATAATTACAAGATCCATTCGCCCGAGGCTCCTCGCATCCTTGCAGATCTTTGGTATACTTTAAGAAACTGTCAACTGATGGAAAGCGTCGCAAAGGAGACTGGGATGAGCCTTGATAAAACAGTGTACCTTTGTCGCTATCACCATGTCCGTTTTCTTGAGTCGTTCCAAAAAAATAATGTGTGCTCTCGTTTACGAGAATACGCGGACAGGACAGTGTATTGCTGCAGGCCTTTTTCAATTTTCTTGAGTCACTTTTCTTCTCATTGTAGAAAATTTCCTCCATTGGAGGATTGTTTGCTAACTGTTTAGTTTTAATTTGAGCGTCAGTTTTTCTCGGAGGCTTCTTTGTGTCAGTGTTACAGGAACGAGCATCAGCCGCCTCTGGCGTATAAAAGAATGGCAAGTTAGTAGGCAGTCGACGCGATCGTTTTTTTTGTACAAACAGTTTCACGTTTGTATCCCCTGCACTATGTCTGGTTTTATTAAGTTCACGTTTTGCCGAAGCCACCGAAAGATTTTTAGCATCAAGGGCACTGCAATAATCTTTACTGGAGGTTGAAATCACTTGCGACGTCACAATGCTTCCTTTGTTTGGCAGTATTACGGGTGTATGTGTTTCCACAACGTGCGTACTCTGTGACTTGAGCGGTTTTTCAGCATTAAGAGTAGCCTGTGATAAGTCTTCAGCTTCTTTGACTTGTCGGGTTTTAGTGTTTTTACTTCGCGGAAGCGTAACATTGTACATGGACAATGAACGGGTCACACTTGGACGCCGAGACTTTTTTTCAGTCTGTGTGATCGCCTTTTGAGAATTTTCAGCTTCAAGATCTTGAAGGGAACAATCGTTTTCACCTAAAAAGGTAACATCATGCATAGATTTTGTCCTGCGATGCTTGAACTTGGCTTTGTCACCACGGCGAAGAAGTGACAACTTAGAGAAGAGGTTCCGTCGCATTCGCTTTGGTTCTTTGTCTTTGTTGTAGTCACTTTCGTCGGAATCGGGGGAATCATACTTTGCCCCTTCACTATCATACGTCGCTAAGTTGTCGCTTGGTTCCGTTTTTTCTCTTTCTGATAATGCAGTTGCCTTTGCTAGCCAATCCTGGAGTTTTCTGTTTACCTGGCTAGCAAATTCTTCACGGTCCTCCATCAGAGGACTCCGTTTAACTTCGGACTCCATCGGTAGAACTTCGGAGGGGCCATCAACGATGTCGACTCCCTCATCGGCCATCCCTATTTCTAGAGAAATTTTCTTGCTAGACATTTCGGACGATACTTGGCTCAATTCAGCATCTTCTCTATCCGAGTGCGGGGCTTCACTTTCAGAAGACCGCTCAGAAGGTGATTTTGAAGCATTAGCCCGAGTTGCGTCTCGTAACTTTTCTGTGAAATAAGCCTCCAGTTGATCAAGTGATTCCCTTTGGACCGGCACTCGATCTTGTAACTCAGACCCACGCCTCGACCTCGACTCGTTTTCACCGATAGAGTCTGAGTCTGAGCTTGTTGCCATGTTAGAAAGTTCATGTAGGGCTCCAAGGAGTTCCTGCATCTCAGTGCCCAGGCTTCCTCGACGTTGATCGTGTTTCCTTGGGGTCTCTGTGTCAATTGCATTCGTATGCACCTCTTCTGTTCCTTGCAAATCTTGCAGGGAATTCAACAACATATCCATTTGACTCTCCAGTCTGGGTAACTTTTTGGTCGGCACAGGCCCATCAACGACTGTCTGGTGAGCTGCGATTGCATCTGCAGCCTCTTTACGCAGTGGACTTGCTGGCGGGGTTTTTCTTTTAAAGGAATGTGAAAACTTAGTAAGTGCATTCATCAGGGAGCCTCGTCTTGGGTACGAGTCAATGTCCAACGCAGCGCCACTTCGTGGTGACGTAACAGTACTACTCGTAAGGCCGTTGGATATATTCTCTATGTTTTCCGTGCTGAGGATATCACCACTTGAGCCCCTCCTCTTGACTTTAAGGGGACTAAACTTTTTATCGCTTTTGTCCATATTTGGGGTCAAAATGCCTCCCTCTGATCCACGCCTACCAAGCCGTTCTGGACTGACAAGTCTGTCCAATCTGAGTGGATATGGTGAGTCTGGAACCGTTGACCTGGTTTCACAGGCATCAGCGATATCAAGGTGTGAAGACCATCTTGTCATTGCCAAAGGACTTTTGGGTGCCTTAACCTGATTGGCTCGCACGCCTAGAAGGACTTCACCACTTGATCCTCGCCTTCCCATATTAGGCGATGGTTTTCCCAGTCTACTGGTTTGTATGCTCAATAGTACCTCACCACTGGACCCTCGCCTGCCCATATTAGGGGAACGTTTTCCTTTGGTTAAACCATGATCGGCATTTACGTCAAGAGCTTGAATGACCTTAGGTTTTAACTTGCGTTGATTGGCTGGTGAGTCAGGGGTCACTGGAAGAAGCCTTCTAACTCGTGTTGATTCATCCTCGCTTGTCGGGGATCGGGGCGCGTCTTTTGCACCATTTTCAGCATTTCTTCTCCTCAAGTTAGGAGAGGTGGGATTCGATGAAACACTTTCGAAATTAATATCTGTTGAAATTGCCCGATGTTGAGGTGAAGATGATGTATTGCCCGGGACAAGTTCTTGCAAAGCGCTGTATAAATCCCGTATTTCATTGACAGATGCAGATACGCGGCGCCTTTCCAACATGGCGGCGGCACGCTTGGGATCCATTCCTGACGGCAGTGCCATTTGTTTTCCACCTTGAGGGACTGTAGGAGATGGGATCTCTGTAAAAATGAGAGAGAAAAATAAAAATGATTCTTTATACTAGTGGTTTTCCTATAGATTGGTCAGTTGCAGGTTAGTTCGGTTTAAAAATATATGAATTTATGATGTTAATTTAGATTTTTCACTGACATGTTTCGTTTATATTTGGGGACATCATGAGAAGCTTAATTTTTTAGCTTTACGTATGTGCTTGTGTGTGAGTTGAATGTGATTCATAGTTTTTCAGTCAACGTAAATTGTTCTTGTAAATGCATTTCCTGTTTTACTCTACGGGTGCGAACCACGGTTTCCCTTTAACCCCTACAAACAAACGAATCTAATCTCAACTCCTAAGTGAATTATCGCGAAACATTCTTTCGTGATGGTCGTTGATTCATGATTGCAAGAAAGTAGACCAACTAATAAATTAACTAATTCCTCTTGCCAAAAGCATATGTAAATGTGTGTATTTAAAACTAACTTTGTGGACTCAATATATAAAGTCCTCCATCATAGAAGCTAATGTTTGATTAAATCTAAATCTATTGGCTGAAAAATATTTCAACGTTTTCAACGTTTCAATTTCAAAGTTTACACGGCTTTTACGAAGATTTCTTAATTGTAAGTGCCCATAAGTAGTATTACAATTAGCTAGATGAACGACTATTTTTATTTGTTTGTGGGTAAAAGAAAACAAAAAGCCTCAAGAGTGAAAATTCTGGTGCACAATACTGAAACTTTAGGAAAAATTTGTTTCAAACCGCGTCTACAGGTAGATACACGAAAGATGAAAGTACGCCCACGCTGTTTTAACAATTGGCTCGTTAAATAGTTGATTGTCAAGTCAACAAAAACGTTGAAAAGGATAATAGTTTCAAGGAAAGAAGAATATTTAATCAAGTAGTCTCCTTAAGTTTCTTGAAAAAAATCTGCTCATGTATCACACCTGACAGTATAATGATAAATGATTCGCTAACACTGCTGTAATGTCTCACTTTTCAGCCAAAAAGAATACAAATACATTTTTTCCGGCTTTTTATCTCAGGGCAAATGTTTGGAAGAAGGCTTCCTGTGTTTACTTGTTGACAAAGTGATTAAGATAATTGAATCATCGTCTTTCAAATTGTTAATTGAAGCAGATATGAAAAAAATCTGCAAGTCTAACAAGGCTGGAAAAGAATGAAAACATTATTCCCTCGTACGAAAAACACGAAGGATTCGTTTTTAAATCACTGCGAACGTGAAATATTACAAAACAAAAAGAGCTGCCGGGAAATAAACAAACTGAAAGATTTGCAACATTTCTTACAAATTCAATATCTTGGCGGTCAAACTAACCTTGCGGCAAAGTAAAACTGCAAAACATAACTTAAATACAGTTGATAACAGAAACATTCAAATGACAAAGAGATTCTGCAAGATCTGTGACAATTATTTTTACCCCTCATGGCGTATAAGCGAAGAAGGGAAGAAACTTTTGTGATGGACAGTGTTACTTACTTGGAACGCGCAATTTGTTGCCATCCATATCTTTCGCTCAAATTGCGTAATACGAAAGTTATTGCACCGCTGCGCAGAAACGTCATGAGGTAATGTTGAAGATATCAAGTCTTTGAAGGGCTAGTATGGAGTGAAATATGGCGCTATTCGAGTATACATATTGAGTTTTTTTAGCAAACCAATGCCTTGATGAATTTCAAGTAGTGTTTTGATAAGTAGCATTGACACCTGCTGAATCGTGTGACGTAATTCGCCGATAGATAATAGCTTACAACGGGAGACACAAGAAATTATTTATATGGTTGAACCACTTCGGTTGTCCTGTTATAAACATGATGTGTGGGCAGCGTAAGTCGAATAAAGAGGCATACAATTTTTTTTAATTTTATAATATTAATTTTTTTGTATGTTAAGATAACTGCACTTGGCCTCACTGAAAACTACATAAGCTCAATTGTGCGTTTTGCTTTTCTACTCGCTTACATAACTGAGAATATCTGCGTGCCATAAATTTTGGTAAGTTTAAATGTTTATAGACTGATGAGTCTCAGGAAGTCTAATGCGTTTTTAAAGAATTATGCTCGCGTCATAAAAAACCTATCTCTTTCGTATGCAGTGCGAAAAATTGTAAACATCCATAGGATAGGATTATTTAGCTTTGACGCATATTTTAAATAAGCTTTTTTTTCCTTTTGTTCCATTGCTGGGGCCGAAGTTCTGTGACCCAGAACCGACATCAAGTGGTTAAAAAAGGTTCTGCTTTAAGTTCATGGGTAAACGTTGAGTTGGTCTCTGAATTATTAAAGAGGGAACTTCATTCTACGTCTTTTGTGTTGCATACATTACAAATGAGAGAAACAAGGATATGAGCTGTTAATCCGTTAATTCGATAAGTGATTTGTTAAAAAGATCAATAACTTTGTTTCATCGACTGATAAAGGCCAGGAACAATTTAAAGGAAATCCACTGCGCAAGTTTCAATAGTTGCAGCACTCATAAAGGCAAAAGCTCAGAGAATTATGTCTCCTTTGTGATTAAAAAAATAGCTGCTTTTGTTTTCGAGCCGTATGTGGTAACCAAAGTATGCGGGCTGTAAAAGATGTCTCGCGCGAAGGTACGTGTCAATCCAACAGGAAATAATTGTCGATATTTTTGCTTGCACAGTTCAGATAACATCTTTGCTTGATTTTTTCAAGTATATGGTTAACATTTAAGCATTTCATGATGCTTAACGGAAGCTCAAATTGAACTGATAACCAACAACATCAAATATTAAAATTCACAAAAGCCATCGCCTCTCACCAGAAATTGCATTGTTTCCCTCGTCGCTGAAGCCCTCACGATCATGATAAAGCTCATTATCGCCCCGTTTCACACCTATCATGTGGTGAAATCTCATCTTTTCAAGCACAAGCGACCACATGATTTCACTGATGAGTTGTTAACTGATCATTTGATGTCCGGAAAGAAACAGAAGTTGAAGTGTTTGACTCTCGCACGTCCCTTCGTATTGTTTTGGTTTCGTTGTGTAAATGGAAAAATTTGCTGTCAACAATTCCACAAAGCGATGACACAAAGGCAGTAGCTATTGACAGTAGCTATTGTCAGCGTTGTTGCCTCATAATGTCAAAAGAAAATCAAATGTACACAGGTTACTGAATTAACAAAATGAAGAATAAAGGAGAAAGAGAACGAGTCAAGCTGGGCGCTCTCTAGATGGCAGCAGAGAAAAAATTCTTGAAGAGGATTTGAAAAGCGAGACGTGACCATTGTTGACATTGTTTTGGCATTAGTCACGTTCAAATGGGCGACAAAATTTTCTTTTGAATCAGTCACGTTCACATGGAGTAATATCTTCCCTTACGGAGTGTTTTGATTCGCTCTATATTTCATTGTTTAGGTATTTTGCATTCTTTTTCAACTCTTTGCCAAATTTGCCCTTCTTTGACCTCTTGGGTCGTGAATTGAAGCCAGGTTGATCGCCGGTGCTGTCTGATCGTGCGGCGAGGGTAGTCTGGAAAAGGATTGTTGTCGGTAGTGTTGACTGACATTTAGACAACGTGTGCGGAAGTCATCATAGGAGTCTGAAACTGTACTTTAACCGATATCCCGATGCTTGAAAACAGTGAAATTCTTTCATTGTTTTTATGACTCGACACAAACATAGAGAAATGTTAGACAGTTTCATGAATCACGAATTAGTTTGTGTATTATTCCCCTTGATATCCAAAGCGTTTTATTGTTAAAAGCTGTTGTAATATGAGTATTTTCCCGTCTGATTCAACAAGGATCTGAGATCTTTGCGCCCGTTTATTGTGCGAGTTATATTGTGGATTACATCTCATACATCACTTAGAGCTTTATAACTCTTTATAACTTGTGTTGAGTGTGTGCAGTGTTTCTAAAGCAAGTGTACATGTTACTTGAAATCACAGAAACAGCTTTGGTTTTTTGTGATTGTGTTATAAAACTGACCTCACTAGTATTCAAACCTCGAAGAGAAGAATAAATATTATTTTGTTTTCGTTTGAACTAGTCGAATTGGCTGAGCACAATTACTGTGGTCTACTCTCCGCCATCAAACCTTTTGCGCGGGACCACTAATCCTTTATTCCATGATAAATGCAGATGATAACGTGTAAAGGAGTTTAAAATTAGATTATTGCATTTGATAAAATGCTGATGCAAAATTTTCAACTTACCCAACTCAGAAATCAAAGATTCGGTGCCTTAAATATGTCTGCGCCATCGTAAACCAAGTGAACACAACGACTATTCCTTCGAAAATCCTGATAATCTATCGGAATAGTATTACTGACTAATTATCGCCAAATTTCGATCCTGTCACTATTGAACGTTGGAGGTAGTTTCGAAGGTTGTAGAATTCTGTAGAATTGTTCCTTTCAGTAGTTTTCCAAGCTTTGATTGTCTCAACGAGGTTCTATACAAGGATTTTACACGAATGACATTTTCACGGTTATTTGACTTGGAAGGATTACTTGCGACACTGGGGGTAAGCCTTGGGAAGACTCTTTAGAAAATATAACAATAAGTCATTACGGTCCGATTAATTAGTTCTCGATTTATTACGATCTCGTCCTCTTTGTACCAAATACAATAAACGTTTTAGAATTATGTTAATGAAGTGCGAGCTGATGTTTTCATCAGTGTCTTTGTATCTGCGAATCGAGGCAGTTAAGGGGAGTAGAAGCATGTTCAATTTACATTTCTCACTGTAGACACTATGTTATCCTTATACGCAATACCCGAAGAGAGCAGTCTTATAGCGAAGGGTTTAGTTTACATTCAGTATAAAAGAATATATAAAATCCTTTTGTTGGTTGGCTTTATTAATCTGAATAACCGTGAAAGAAAGAATTATCTTGTTGAAGGTGTCTCGGTATGATCCGATTATGACCGAGTATGCATTCGGAAGTTTCCGAAATTGAAATTTCTTGAAATTTCGTTTTCGTCGGAGACACGAATGTGTTGGCTTTCTCGCGTCATTTTGATCATACTTTCCATAATTTCTTAAACATTTTCGTGTCATGTGTCTATAATTTCATTATTTGTTTGTTGTCGTCACGCTCATGGTGAACAATTTTCCTCGCGAAACCAAATTGAGCTTTTCGACAAAATTGGAGAAATTTTTCTAAACGCTCGAGACAGGCCCACTTTGCTTTTCCCTTCGATGGAGAATTTTTGTGCCCACCATATGCAGAGTAATTCAAATTGATAGCGGTGAGGAAACTTGTCAGTGCTCCACAAATGGCAGAACTCTTCGACAAATTCCCTTTAATTCATGCAGCAAGGAGAGCGTACGAACACGAGATTAAAAGATGTGATCTGGTGATATTCCGTTCGTTGTGAGTGAGTAAGATTGTCTCTACTAAGTTATGTTTTTATTCGAAAGAATCAACTGATTATTAACCATTACTCACCATGATACCGTGCGAGAAAAGCCGATCGAGAATAAATTGTGGCAAAATTAAGCAGAAGGACTTTTTTACTGAAGAATAAAGGAACCTTCTCCGGATAAAACAATTTTTTTTTTTTTTAACTTACAGGATAAAGCCTATCAGACCAAAATTAAAGGTTACAGAAATGTTTCTAAATCAGATAGCATTCCTTCTCAGAACTATATTTGTTTGGTACATACCTAGTGTATCAGTAGAACTCTCCTCACGGCTATTAACCTTCACCATGCTGGACTTTCCACCTTTTTCTTTGTTTGAATTTGTCTGTTAAAAAAATGAATATGAGAAAGTATTTGGTTAGATCAGCAATCTGGAACTCTCCATGACTTTAATTCATGTAAATAAGCTGTCCAAAAAAAATACTGAACGGACCGTCATGAAAAACAAAATTGCAGACATACGTCCATGTTTCGAGGGAAAGACGTTTACGAAAGCACGGATGGAAATTTGAAGATAATTCTAACGCTACCGGCTTAAAATTACTAGCGCGCTATTCTTGGATATTGAAACTTGTGGCTGAAATTGTGAAAACCAAAAATATTTGGCAGGTTTAAAGTTTGGGATCAGCCGCGCAGTCACCGTGGAGAAACCGAAGGTTATACAACTGCGTCAGCGACCTGGAAACCTTCCGCATATATTAACAAAAACTTATTATAAAATTGAATAAAGGGGGTAAGTTTCTAAAGTAACTGTAGTGCTACGTCGATGGAGAGAATAACAGGGTAATTTAGTATTAGCGTCAGAGCGAATGACGAAGGGCTGACTCTCGAAACTTCAGGTTTGGAACTCCTTATGGTGGTCAATTTACATCGTCAACTAGGTTGATAATGCTAAAGTACCTAATTATAAAAAATGAATCATTGTTTTTCTAAGTATTAAATTTCTTTTTCGAGACGGAAATTGGGAAATATCGAAAGACACACACGAGTTGAGAACCAAACTAATAAAACGAACAAACGTGACTTCTTTCCATTCATTAACCCTGATATTGAGTGACAAGCCTTTAATTTCGGTATACATAGACGTGCATTGAAATCGATAGGCAACGTAGCGTAAGCTGAGTGCTTCCAAAACATTCAAGAGACTTCGCAATGTTTTGAAGTGTTCACTGGTTAGAATTCGTTCCCGTGCACAATCGTAAATTCGGAAACGTGCGTATGGCGACTTCTTTCTGGGCCCAGTTTTGACCTGCCAGATAAAACTTAATTTACTGTGTTATGTTAACCGAACACAATGTTGAGTATTGAAAGATCAAATGTATTTGTCTCGAAAGTATTTGAATAAGAGTGCTCGTTGAAAGTGCACTCTTGGTCTGGGTGAGTCTTCATGAGTCGATTTCCTTACAATGTTGAAAGTGAGCTTTTAGAATTGAATGATGTTAAAATTAACAAAGAGCATTTTCTTACGACAGTAGTTCAAAAGCTTTCACAGAGTGACTCAGAGATTCTTAAATACTATCGGTTCATACCAGTGAAACCACTTAGCGCTCGCAACGAATTTAAATCTATGTCAGACCGAATTTTTGACTTTAGAGAGCGCAGACTGAGACTCTGGGGAACGAGGAAGAGAGAGCAAAATATGAGGAAATGACAGAATTTTACCGGAAAAGTTATACTTACATATCCTGAATTGTCTGATGTGTTCTCTTGCTTTTAAGACGAAATAATCAAAGTTTAATCACCTTCCTTATTCAAGAGCACGTTGATATGATGCACTGGGAACAAAGCTGCGACGTTTTGTTTGGAACCTCAATACACCCCTCCGAAAGTATAGATCAGTTTCCGGTTCATTTTTTTAAAGGCATTTTTTTCTCTTTTGTGTCACAATACGGCAACTAAACCCTTGAGAATTTAAACCTTGAGAAATTTAAGACGATGTGTTAAACTTTCACCGTTCTATATGCTTTGACAAAGTGCGAAGCGTATTCATTATTTGTGGAGTCCTAAGGGTATCCGCAAATCTATGCTTGAAAACTTCTTTCATTGTATGTTTTATTAACCGCTACACTATTAATTACGGTCATTTGTTCGTAAAGTTTGGAGCTCTAGATGGTTTCCTTTAGATATTGTAAGCTGCAAAGCTTTTGAGATAAAATTGTTTGTTTCAAACTTTCATTCAATCACGCAAGAAATTAATCTAACAGACGAAAGAAAAGTAAAACTCAAATTTTTTCTTGGAGGTAATCCAGTGCAGTTGTGTTCAGTCTTGTAGGCAATCATCTTTCCAATTCTTTTAAGTAATAACCTGCCTTCGACGATAAATTTGATAAAGTACTGATCACAAAATACAGAACATAAATTTTTGTTCTCCTTGCTTTTCAAAAAAAAAAATTGATTGCTCCTGTTCCTTGTCTTTGATCATTTCCCAAATTCTTCAAACGTCATATCAAGATTAAGTATGATCATCATTTGGGAGTGTTCATGTCTAGATCATAAGAGTTATATTTCTTTAGTCGAATGATCACCTTTTTTTTCTAAAGCTGTCGCGTGGGTTACGGACTAAGTGAAGTTTTCAACCAAAATAATTGTGTCTGCATTCTGTGAATATTGATTGTTCATCTCTCAACCAACACGATACCACATCACGTACTCATTGAAACAGAAGAGCGCAGAAGCTGTTCGCTCAGAGAAAACTTTACGAAAGTTTACACATTTCTTGATTAATTTGAAATGCTTCAGTCGGAAAATTTTCCCATAATGTCGGATTTCTCTTTGTGACAACAAAGAATATGAAAATTAGGAAGCAGATATATTTGATTACTCAGCCTCATGACTAAACCAGAGATTTCATTGTTACGCAAATTTTGAATTACCGGAGAGGCGGTGTTTCGCTACTGAATCTTTATAATATTTTTTTTGATTTTGCCGAGAATGCAGTGTTGCATGAAACCACCTATTTGCTTTGAAAATTAATACTCCTTGATTGCATCAAAAAGACCGATTTGTGAAGTATATTGTGTTTATACAAAGTCATAATTGACGGTCGCAACATCGAGTTCGCCGCAATTTATGAAAGAAAAACTTTCGGTGCTCTTCAACTTCTTCTAGTAAAATATTTTCACATAAGACTGGTTTATTCGAGAATCGAAATGAGTTTGCAGTCGTCTAATGGTTTAAGGTAAATAAAGTAATTGAAGTAAGGGTTATATTTAAATTTGAGGAACAATTTACAAAAGAATTGTATCGTTCCGTCATCACTTTTTGTGTGTAAGTGCGTAGTGAAACGTGAGAGGCCGTAGACATTTGTAGCTATATCTGAAGGAAGTAAATAGGAATGAATTCAAAAAATTAGGAATAAAGTACTTGACTGTATGTGGGCCGATGACGTTGGGCATAAGTCAGTGATTCATGCTAGCGCGTGTATGAATAGCCACACACCGGGAACAAAATATAAACGAAGAATAGGAACATGATATAAAACAGCATCGTTAATGCCCTGATCACTGGGCATAAATTGCTATCAAATCTATGATGCAAGTTTACTTGAAGTGAATTTTTTTAACCTTCTGCTCAATCGTCTCCTATTTGTGATGATTCGTAACTTTAGTTCTGTATAGTTCTGAATTTTATATTTCAAGTAGTTGTTTTTTCTTACTGAGAGTTTTCAATATCGCATTTCAACAGTTTCTAATGAATAATTTTAACTTTTCAAACTTCAGGAAAATTGTCGATGCCGTAAGATATGTCGTATAAAGAAAGATATTTATTTACTTCTCGACAACGCAGTCGAGGGTCACAGGCTTTTTCCTTTATCCAGTATCATGAAGAAAGTTTGTTATCTATCCTTATTGCGCAAATGAGCTTAGAATTTACCAAAATATGTGATCTACTTACGTAATATGCTTTAGTTCTAAACGTTCTCGTCTGGTTTAAATTTTCCTGTGTAGTTTGACAATCGTCGCTGTGGCTCTTATCACAACCAAACATTGACTAACAAGTCTGATTAGTCACGTATTGACTCACTGTTAATTCATGACTAAGCAACGCACGACACCGTACTTCAAAACATTATCTTGTTGCGAGCATTTCTTTTGTTAATGATATGACGTGTTCATGGTGAGATAAATTCAAGCGACGGTGAGTCTACAAAATTAGCCATGCTGAAGCGGTGCGTGTCTGTTCAGCATTCATACTCTCCAAACCTAACCAATTGTAATATGCATAGTAAAATGGACCCTTCTCTGAAATTGAAAATCTGTGTTGGGAAAATTATTCACTTAGCAAGAAATAACACTGTACAACTAGTATGTATAGACAATATTAATTCAGTACAACTTAGATTATTGGAAAAAGTGTTCATTAACAAGCACTTGTATTATCACTAGACTTGCATTAACTTTTAGCCATACAAATGCCTAATTCTTTAACTTTTTTTGTTGGCCGAGAAGCGTTTCTCGTTAATTTCACGACGAGCAAAAGTCCTGATTATAAAGGAAAATTTTTAGGGAAATTTATGTGATTTTTGATGTTATCTTTTCGGACAAGAAGTTTAACAACCAGGTTTCCAAAGAATGAGCAGGAAAATTCAAACGTATTCCAACGAGCCTCTAAGCCTGTTTATTATTGAAGAAAGATGCGAATCATTTCAGTCACGAGCACGGGAAACAGAGAAATTTAAGTCTCCCACGAGAAATGAAGTCCTAGACCTTCGGCTTCCGCGTTTCGATGCTCTACTTCTGCTTACAGAGAACTTTGGGATAAGCTAAGACATTACTTGGTCCTATGCGACACACGTCCTGCGTCCTGCCTTCAAAAGCGATTATGACTGAGTGTTTTTTAGAGCCGAAGTGGTTTAATACAACCGCGGTCTTAAGATGGAGAAACATGTGTCACATCATGTGGGCGTGTACATAAACAAGTTGTGCGTCAGGTTTAAAAGAGATCACCTCTTACCTAACAAAAAAAAAACATTTTTGGCTAGTTGCAAGGAAACACGAAGTTATTGTGACGAAAAATTATGGTTTTGTTCCCTTTCCAACTCTTTTGACTTGTTTTGAAAATGCTTTGTTAAGATTTGTTCTACTACGTAGTGTAGCTTTTGAGTGCCAGGTCCTCCGGCGGTTTTGTGATCCAAAAATGTTTAGATCCTTGAAGTCCTTCTGCCTTTAATTAGCTCTATTCATTACCTGTTTATTCGCTTATTAGACATAGGTATATAAGCTTCCTAGCTATTTGAATGTATTAACTTAATTACTGGACTAAACCTTTAAGAAGATCAGAAATGTGATATAAACCTATGATGGTATGGTATTCTAGCAGCCATCTTTACCTTGCTCAATCTTGTGTTGTATAAAGGTGTGATATCCATGGTAAACATTGATTTGTTTCCGTTTGCGAAATTGAAACAGCGAAAAATGGAGAGTTGTTCGCTTACTACTAACAAGGTCCTTGAATAGGTTGGATTTATAAAGAGGTGCCGCAAAGTTGCCGACAAACCTCATGTCAGTATTTGAGTCGGCCCGCCAAAAAATTACCGCACTGTCTTTTTCGGCCGCTTTCAAATGTATGTCTCTTAGCGCACCCACTGGCTTATCGTTTTAGGATAGGTTACATAATCTGGTTATCCAGTTGACGTTAGGTTTCTGATTTTAATGGTTCCATTTTTTCAACGAAAAAGTTTAAAGGGGCAAATTGGCCTTCTCTAGAGGAGTACATTAAGGTTTGTGGACATGGATTGTTTCGAAATCATGTTTTGTTGGATCTTTATCGGAAGTTCAAGAATGGTCTACTTTTCCCTGAAACATTCTTGGAATTGTTCCTATAAAAAGGAAGAAATTTCCTGTTGAGTCATGATTAAAAATTTGGACTATTGTTGTAAAGTTCAGACGACGAGTAACAATTTGGTCATCAAGATTTTTGCGCATGTGCCACCAAGGCTTGGTAATGATTTTCATACTTCAACCAGAACAAGTCTCTCAAACGCTGCAAATTTTTCCACTAATAGAGTTTCACGTAAGAATGAAAGAAGAAAAAAAAGTGCTTATCCCTTCACCTTTAGGTTTCAAATAGTAAAATTAAAGTCATCAGCCAATTGATTGCGCTCTCACCTATGCAATTAACATTTAGCTTACACTCTGCTAAAAAGTTATACTTTGAAGGCTCACTCTAATATACCTTGATAGTCGAGTGCATTAACACACAGACACAACCTTACAATCCTTTACTTTTTTCCAAAGTAAGGCTGAAACTCGAAACGTTAGCTTTTTAACCGCGTTAGGGTGGTCTGTCTGCCTAGTCTGGTTGTCTATCAACCAAATGTTTATCTTGCCCGCCAACTGATCAAAACTTATCAGCGTGCTCATGAAGTATTCACCCATGTTTGCGCGTATTCACAGCAAGAGCAAACAGGGAGCGCAAAGCTTGGTGTTTGCTAACGCGGCAACCGGTTACTGAAGGGGTAATACCCAGTGCTTACTTTGTATTGGAACAGTTTGGAGGCTTTTAGAGCAACCAAGGGCTAAACAGTTGAAGTAAAGTATAACCAAAATGCTATAGGTCATGTATGCATGGCTAAGTCGGCACAACTATGAAACCAGAAAATCGGATTTTGATTTAAGAGCTGCTCAACGCGCACCAAGAATGATCAGAATAACTCCCCCAAGAAATAAAGTCGTTAAATGTTCATGATATGCGATGCAAGCTTTGGTTTTTTTCCTCCATCTTTAAGGCGCCAGTTGTGTGATGTCAAGTGTTGCTCTCTGCTCAAACGCTTGTAAGGTTGTCATTTCTTTATGAGAAAATCTGTGCTGTTTGATCGTGATTCGCTGATTTCATCAGTACTTCGAGGTTTTGATTTTAACAAGGTAACTAGATTAGGCAAAGAAAGCCTTTATTTACTTTGCAAGGCTCCTAAAGACTGGAATACCTGATGTTAATCCTTTGCAACAAGAGACACCAATCCCCTAATCGTCTTTTTATAAGCTATTCGTAATGCTAGAGGTCAAACACTGATGTTTTTTTTAACTGTTTGCCCTGCATTTAGAAAATGTAGAACGTTAAATTGTTACAGAAGTAAACCTGGCATCATTGTCACGTTGAAATCAAAATTTTTTTCAATAGAAATATACTTTGCAGTCGTTAATTACGTAAACATACGGTTATCTTTTATGGTATAAAATAACTGATCTTACAGATATTATCACAGCTTATCACATTTTTTCATTGACGCCGCGAATCTGTTTTCAAATACTTTTCCTTTTGAAGATAGCATAGTAAGGGGAAAGGTGGTAACTTTATATGCGAGCCGAAGTTGTTTGCCGTCTTGCAAGTCACATGTTTCATTCTGATCACAATTTTTTAATCACTAAAATTTTCCTTGCTTTAAACATGTAGCTTCGTAGCTCAGTTGTTAGTACCTGTAGCGCCCAACTAGTGCGTAGAAGGTACGGGCTCGAATCCTGTCGAACCTGAATTTTTTTAAGGATTCTTCTATGCAATTGCTAAATTTGGGGCAACTCCATCTACGAGGATCACCTCTTTCCTTGCTTTTCATTTCTGGCTTTGTTCTCTTCAGTGTCCGGGAAAATGTTATTTGATATCTGTCTTTAAGACTTACATTCTTGAAAAAGTTAAGGTATAAAAGAAATAGCCCACAAATCCGTATTGAATAAAGTAATTTTTAACCAACTTGTTACTAGTGAAAATTAATACAGACTGATACAATTTTTATATTGACTATTTTATTTTCGTCTCCCAACAGTCGCTGAACACGTCTGTCAATATTCAGCCATTTCAACCACCACAAGAAGTGCACTTCGTTACCACGTTAACTGAGCCTACTTTGATAAAAACTGCATTTTGAAACAATACTCAAAGCTCGACATCTCGTTTTTTCTCAGACTTTTTGTGCTTGTTCTACATTGATATCAATTCTTGGTAATACATTATGATTTATTTTGAAAGTAGATGTTTACTTGTTTTTCACAACTGCCGAAGATCACTACTCAGAATGGTCGCTTAAGGGGGTAACATTTGTTGCCACGGTTACAATAACAAGATAACACATATTCAATACGGAGTCCTCTTGAAACCCATGGCGAAGAAAGTGAATATTCAAAATGAACATGCGGTTGTAAGCCAAGTTATAACATTGTGAAAATGTATCAAAGAATTTTTTTTCGGTGCTCGCTTGTTGCGCACGACTAGTTTTTGAAATGAAATGTGTATTCCTCTGTTTTATTACAAATATTAGATATTGGTTCTAAGATATGTTTAGATAGCAAGGGAATGTGCTGAACATTACTGAAAAGTTGAACTAATATTTCTTTGGGAATGATAACTTGGCAGGTGGCCTGGTGACTGTCGAAATCACCCTATTTTTGCTTGTTATTGAACTGAAAACGAATAAATAAATAAACAAAAATCTTGCATTGATAAAGTTTAGATGATCTTGATGGTTTCGGCATGGATCATCTCATTTTTTAGTTTACCTTTTTGTTGTGCTATTCGATGAGTCAGACATATCTAATCATTAAATGCATCCCTGTATATTCGTAAAATATCTTGGTATTCAGTAAGTATAAGTGTACTTTAAGTAGAGTTCCTGTCGACTTAGTTTAGAATCACGCAGTAAACTTTTTCCATTCAGACTTATGACTTTATAAGATTTTAATTCATAGTTAGAATTTATCAAGGACCTTTAGTTCCCAAAAAGGCCAAATTAATTATCCTTTTACATGAGGCCTAAAACTCGAGAACGCCTTTTTAACCGCGCAGACAGTCTTTATCAGTGATATCGACTGACATATCTCACTGTTATGTCTCCGCAAAGTACAAAAAAGACAACCTCATATTTTTGTATGACAATGTCGGGATCGACCGGATTGACTTCAGCACCCATTCAAGAAGATAAAGTGTGTAAAAATCGTAGGATATAAATGAAGTATCAGGTACAAAAGATGTTGAAGAATAGCTATTGAGATGTTCTGCACTCAGTCAAAAAACATCGAGCCAAGAGAGACACTTATCTTTTGCTATCGAAAAAAATGGGTTCTTTCATGGACAAATTACAAATTCAACATTACCGTTTTTTCGAGGAGAATTTATATCATTGCTAGGTGTGCTATTTAAGAAAAACAGGTGAAGGTACAAAACAAACCTGTTCCTTCAAAATTTTGAAAATTGAAATACGAGTGTTATGGCACGAGGTGAAAAAGAGCTCGGTTTTAATGATAGTTTTTTTAACTGATAAAGAACAACTTGTATTTAACTTACATCTATGGTTGTGTCATTTTATTAGCAACAGGAATGTACGTGTAGCTATAAAGGGGTTTCAAGGTTTTGTATAAACCATTCTTATGAAAAAAAAAAAGAGACACTTGATGATAATTAAACAACCATCGCGTGCTTTTCCACCGAATAACTATATCAATGGTATTTTTTTCAAACTTGCTCTTTCCGACAGGAGTCCTCACAACTCAATTATTTTTATTGACTGTTTTCAAAAGATACCCGAAATAGCATTTATGAGCGCAATTAATAACAATTTCGTGTAAAGCATTATTAAATTTTCTTTGCCAAATTACCCTCCTAACCTTTCGGCTTTCTGTCAACTCAACCTTGATCTATTTTTTACTCAAATTATAATGGCAAAAAGTCTAAAAATATAATTGAATTACTCTTCCAATTAATGATCTAGGTCAAAGGAAATCGTCAGCTCTTTTGTTAAGAGTCAAAATGGTATTAGTAGGGATACAGTGTATTAATTAAAGCCTGGATAAACAAGTACGTGAATGTAAGCAAAGATGAAATCAGTTATTTACGTTTAGAAACATATTTGAAAAAAAACTTGCTTTGTTATAGTTTCGATTACTTTTGCTTGAATTATAGTCACGAGGTGAATAAAGAGCGTAAGTTTCTGATAAAACATATGGTGTTGCGTCGGTGGGAGAGTATATCAGGGTAATTTGGTATTATCAACTGAGTTCATAACGTAGATAGGCCTCTGTAAAGAGTTTCAAAGCTGACGTTTCGAGCGTTAGTCCTTCGTCAGAGCGAATGTAGTTACGAGATGGCTTGCAGTTAACAATTCATGTTACATAATTATACATGTTAAACCTTTTTGCGGTTGGGCTCTGGCGCCCCATCGCTTTGATTTCCGGTATATTATGTCTGTGCACAAAACCCGCAAAACTAAATAACTTGCTTAACATACTTAAATATTTAATGTCCGTTACTAATTTTAAACCTGTGTAACGAAAACCTAAAAAAGATTACGAGAGAGCATTTTGTTATTATCAATGCATGATTTTTAAATAGTTCATTGACAGGCAATATTTTGAAGTATTATGGATAAAAGAAATTCATGAGCAGTGTTACCTAATGTCACATTAAGTAAGAAAGAATTCTGAGATCGTCAAAATTAGGAGAAAAGTTGAGTTTTGATTGAAAACAGTGATGGATTCAATCGCCAGAATGGTCTGTTAAAAAAAGAAAACCTGAAAATCGAACGAAAAGGCAGCAAAACAAACATAAAGTAGCATTTGATTTATTTTTGCTGATTAATTTAGGTAACGATATTGAAAGAGTGTGCGAAGGAAGATAGCACAGCGCCTTCCACCAAGAACACGCAATTTAAGCTCTCCAAATATAACGCAGAATTCTGACTTTACGCTTCAGTGTTGTATATTTGTGAGCTAATTTTATCTATCGTGACAGTTTTAAAGAATTTTAAGCGTCGAATATTGTCCTTATTAACCAGCCTTGAAAAATCTCTAGTGTCATCGTATTTTTCTCACTCGGAATTCGGAAGTACATGGGTTAAAGTCGTCATGGTAACATGAGAAAACAAGGGTTAATACAGTAAAGGGTTTGATGACCTTAATCTTCTTGAGAGCGCCTTTCACGCTTACGATGGCACGATGAATGCATTCCTCAATTTAAAAGTTTAAGTACATTTCTGGAAGCAAAATAGAATGAGAACTGCCAATAAATTTAATAGCATTTGATAAAGTGTTCTTCAAAGACTGCTGCAATCGTTCAACTTTTCGCAATGGAAAATATCAGTATACTTAGAAGTGAACTTGAAAATAAGAAAGATCCCATCGATATAATTAAGGACCATTTAGACGGAAAATGAAATTATGAAATAATTTCCAAAAATTTCTTTTTTGTTTATATTAGATAGCTGTATGTATATGTTGTGGTTTAATTTTATCCTTAGTTCAAATTCTATTTTCCTTTGTTTCAAACTCATTATCATACATTACAATACTCAGAAACAAAAGAAAAGAAAATTTGAACAAGGATAAAATTGAACCACAACATATATACTGAAGAAAATTGATTGAAATATTTGTTACGAATTGAGATCGTTTGAATAAGTGTAAAAGTGTTGTCAGGCAATTATCTAATTCCCAACAAGTAAGCAAACAGGAAAGAATACTAGAATTATTGCTGGTTTTGTAGAAAAGAGCTATGGCGTATTCCGTCATACTCAAAGGAATTTTGAGTTTTGAATATTTTATCCCTCGAATCCATGCAAAATCGCAAAAAAGAAATTCAGAAAACCTGAACATAGATTTTACAAGCTAAAAGATATTCTTGGAAAAAATAATTTCATTTTTTCCCTTTTTTTACGTGCTGCCGGTATAAGAAAGGGCAGTTGGTCATTATCAACTGACATCCTTAAATCCTCTGTGCCTTTTTTCATTGAAACGTACTTCCTTCCTAACTTTGCTAATCCCTTTTGTAATCTATTGAAACTCTTCCCAAGTGTATTTGCACATTTGCCATACCAGCCAGAATTAAAGTAGACACAAATGCGCCTAATCCGAGCTTTGGAAATTTCTTCCGATTACTAGGAATAACACTTGCTGAACACGTAGAAGAAAACGTTACCTTTTACTAGTGTCAAATGCTGCCTTATATTCTTTTGTATGTTGGAAGTTACTGTGATAACATAGTCAGATTTGATCACTTAGAATAGTTTAAGAATTAGCAAAGAACAGGAGAACTCGATGACAAAGTGACTTCCAATTTTTTCCTGGTGCTATAAGTTTTTTTTCTTTTGCATTTGTATTTTTGATCAGTCATTCAGTCGTAAGCAATAATTTAATGCTTCTAAAAAATCGATTTACTACGATTTTTGTTGTGTTAACAGATGCTCCTATGATAAATCTTGAGATGAAATACTTAACATCAGTTTTTCACGCCCCCAGCACATTTTAAAACTCACATCAAGAGGCTACTGCATTACTCTTCCAGAAACTTGTATACGTCTTAAGGCAGTTGATGTCAATTTTCTCCTGCGAATTTTTGTTCCGATTCAGGCCTCTTTGGAAGCAACCAGGGTCGTTGTGCTCACATTTCGATCATGCTCAGGCGCCGCTTGAAAACAATATCTAGTAATATTGCGTATATTTTTCACAATTTGGTATCATTTCAGCCGGTAAAGAATAGCAGGACCTGGATTTGTTTCAATTTGTCTTGAAAACATCGTTTTGTGGTATATATTCAAACTAACTATACGACCCAAAGTCTCGCCGAAAAAACAGTCATGGGCGAACAAGTCACGTTTATTCATTAGTTGTACTGCTGAAAACGATTGTGATTTCACTGCAAAATTTCCCCCAAATTTTACAAAATTGATAGACACAAAATAGTAAATAGAATTACCTTCGACTTCTTTTTTCTTAAACTCATTCTGCTTGGAAGCAGGGGGCCTCGGAACCACGTCCTCATTTTGTACAGTTACCTCTGTGCACAGCAGTAAGGTTCAATGTTTACTATTGTACATGCTCTTTGTCAATGGTAAGTAAATGGAGTTTACGTCCTAAATCAGCATTCTTTGCTATATTGCCTCTCGTGGTTAAGAGGATGGTTCAAATTCCCTCAGATAGCATCTATGCTTTCAGCTGAAGCCAATATTAATATTTTAACTTGTGGCCCGATGTTTAGCTGCAAAGTTTGACGATTGAGCGGAGTAATATTCAGATGAATGTATGGCATGTTTTTTGTGGTTTATCAAATTAATCCTGTGTCAATCGCAAAAGAATACAACCTATTTCAAAGCGTTATATGTTAATAATCCCGTCCGCCGGAAACGTGACATTTTCTCGCGTAAAATTGATCACGAAAGTGACCATGCAGAGCGATTAGTTTCGTAAAAGCGCGTTAAATCAAAAAAGGCGGGAATTCTTACGGTTGTCAACAGATTTCCAGCCGATATTCATTGTCCACCGCGCGCTCACAAAACAACTGTATCTGATCGGTTTGACCGCACGGCATTGGAGACCATTTAATTTTCTTGCGCTTGAAAACCTTTTTGCAAAAACCGACGCGGTCAAAACTTTCTTTACTTCATGATCCGCAATTCTGCAAAGCATAATTTTTATTTATGTTGATGTACTTAGAATGTAAACCATGCGGCGGCATTGAAAGATTAATTCAAATTCGGTTCAATCTTCCGTATTTTCTTTTCTGTTTGTTTTGTGAAACCACTTTTTGGTCATCAATTGTTCAATTTTATGTGGGTGTCATTTGATCCTAATAACTTCAAGCGGCCTTCTTCTAAGGCTGACTTAGAAATCTTTGCCATTCCGGAAAGATTTCCGAGAGTTGTTGAACAATATGCAGTATGTACATAAAATACTCAACTAAAGCGCCTCGTGATTTAATGCATGTTTAGAAATCAATGAACTTTTGTTCTCCAAAGAATCATTTTATGAAATCTAGCAATTAGGAAACAAACGTCGATTGAAGGCTTTACAAGACTTTTTTTTTTCTTTTCCTGTGGGAGGGTCTTCTGGCACATTAAGTTAAGAATTATTTTTAGCTTCAAAATTCGTAATCAGTCATTCCTAGTGAAGTCATACGCTGTCATAGGTTACGTTAATAGCATCTAAGGTCTATTTTAAGAAATTTAAGGAGTCGGGTTGTTCACGGAGACTAAAAGTTCACGTATCCCTGGCATGAAAGACATCAAAGGGTCAAGAAGCCTGTGAAAGCTATCAGATGAGGTGAAGCATTTCACTGCCCCAATAAATATACCATCAGGCGTCCAATTTTTTTCAACCCGAAGTTTTTTGGTTAAAATCATTACTGCGCCCTTTAGAACGGTTCATGTAATTTGACATGTTGGATAACACTGAATGATATTGTCACCGGCGTACTCTTTCAACACTTTTGAAGAGTAAAAGACTTTGATTCCTCCATGCAGTGAAAACGTTTTGGGGTTGAAAGGTTCTATCATATAACAAATTTAACTCTAAAGTGTTTTAAAAATTCGAGCTCTTTCTGTCTTGTTTTATTAGATTTGGATCCCCGATATAAGGAAACTGAAAGTGCATCCTCGGTGGATGGATTTGACAATAACACTTTAGAAAAACTTCAGATGCAAACATTGAACGGTGAAACAAATAAAAACAAAGGGATCGAAAGGCTAGTACAATCTTTGTTGGAGATGCTTTTTTATTTTACAGTTTGTGATTATTTAACAATTGGCACCATGGATTTGTTTTAATTTTTCGTGAAACCGATCGTTTTGTGGTAAGCTCGCGTCAAATGATTAACGAAGAATGAAACTATAGTGGTCAGCTGTTGATCTCTGGAGGTCTGTGAAAGGTTTGGAAAAATTAAAAAAATAATAATAACAGAGATAGGAATTTTCCTTCTTTTGCAGAATGGTAACGAGAGATTTTATAACACATTCAAGGATATTTATTGTAACAAATTTTTAAACTGTGTAATTTTATAACTCAACTAACAAAATTTTTATTATTATATTACATCTCCTCGTTATGTTTCATTCTATTTTAATGTATCCTTTGTGTAAAACCTGAGAATTAGCTTGTGAGTGTTTCTCACTAATAGTTAAGTGCATTTATACAATTAACCTGTATTTATGTATGTATGTATGTAAGAATAAAAAGCAACGCTATTAAAAGATGACGTTTCATCGAAGACATGTCACCATTATCAAAAACGAAGGTGTGTAACATAAAACTAGATTTTGCAGAACAAAACAAATTGTTGAACGTGCGCAAAGTCGGGCCTCAATCCTGCAGAATTGCTGTTAAGTACTTCTTGTGCTTTCACGGAGAAAAGAGGCATGTGACGAGGGTTACAGCTTCTTGAATATCGTAGATTCAATATAGCTCCATGTAAACTGGCACAAAGTGAAACCATATCTCAAAGGTTTTTCATACCTACAAGAAAATATTTGCTTTATGTTAACAGGTCATTTGAAAATGCGCCTTGCTTCGATAAGATAAATATAGGTTTCATTGGATTTATAGGGATGACATTGCGTGGATTGAAATTTCAGTCAAACTGTTTTTTACTATTAAAGGAAATTTCTTCCATGATCATTTTCTAGCAGTGTTGTAAGACGGGATTGGTAAGCAGTGTTATTATTGGAATAATAATGACAATTTCATGTTTGTAAGTAAAAACGTGACTTCCCATCATGCAAGCTTTTATCGTGCTCAATTCTTGCCCATAACAGTTCCACTTTGAGTGTACACTCGACCTTTAAATGTAATATTTACGTGTTCACTACTTTGAGATTACCATGTGAATTTATGCCGGTGAAAATTTTTCATTGTAGAAGCAAAAGCGATACTCGTGGGTGAGGCAGTTAAAGAACGAAGCCGGCCCTTTTGATTTTCGCATTCCTACCTTAGTAAAGATCGATTATCAGGAACTTAAGCAGATACATTGGCGACGCCTTTGAAAAAAAGCAATTAAAAAATGTACTTAACATTTATCTTAAAAAAATTTTGCGAATATCATACTTTTCAATAAAAAGTACAGACGAAGAATTTGCTGTCGGAGTCAGGTTTCCTCAAATATCTAAATTTGGAAATTCGAGCGTTATTGTTGCAAAGAGATGTTGTGCAAAACGTACAAAGTGTTGAATTGCACGCACTCAGTCATTTTACCGCTTCGCAATGCTTTTTTTTCGTTAAGTTCTCAGGGTACCCAGGAGATTGACTATCCTTTCTAACCCTAATGAAAGTGTTATCAAATAGAAGATATAGTTTTAAGCTAAAGTATTAAACAAAGCAATTCACGTTGGAAACCGCCCGTTTAAGGCTGACTCCCAAACATCAGTATACATATTCTCCATTCTGTTCTCTATACATTTGCTAAGATACTCAAATGGAGAATTTGTTTAACAATCAAGATTTTCTTAATTTGGCGATCATTTTATTCATTCTCATGACCTTAATGTTTGATTCAGGGGAGGTACTGTGAGGAGAAGGTAGATTCTTGTCATTCCTTAGTATTAAAAAGTTTCGGCCAAATGGAGGAAAATAATGTGAGCCCGAAAATGGAAAATTATTTGCTGCTACATGACAAACTTGGAGAGTGATCTCAAAGAAATTAAAATTTGTTCATCTCACTTTGAAAGTGTATTCGGAACTTTGTCTTGCCAAAGAAAACAAGAATGGTTGGAACTCGGCACTCTTCTATTTTTACGTTCTCGTAACGTGGAGAGATAAAAACAATATACGAAGAGACGTGACTTCCAATCATGAAATCATTATCGCGCCCTTTAGAACGGTTCATGCAATTTGACATGTTGGATTACACTGAATGATATTGGCGCTGGTGTACTCTTTCAGCTCTTACGTTAGAGTAAAAAGACTTTGATACCTCCATGCAGTGAAAACGTTTTGAAGTTGAAAGGTTCTATCATATAACAAATTACACTCTGTAAAGTGTTTTGAAAATTCGAGCTCTTTCTGTCTTGTTTTATCAGATTTGGATCCCCGATATAAGGAAACTGAAAGTGCTCATCCTCGGTGGGTGGATCTGACAATAACACTTTAGTAAAACTTCAGATGCAAACATTGAACGGTAAAACAAATAAAAACAAAGGGATCGAAAGGCTAGTACAATCTTTGTTGGAGATGCTTTTTTATTTTACAGTTTGTGATTATTTAACAATTGGCACCATGGATTTGTTTTAATTTTTCGTGAAACCGATCGTTTTGTGGTAAGCTCGCGTCAAATGATTAACGAAGAATGAAACTATAGTGGTCAGCTGTTGATCTCTGGAGGTCTGTGAAAGGTTTGGGGAAATGAAAAAAAAATAATAACAGAGATAGGAGTTATCCTTCTTTTGCAGAGTGGTAACGAGAGATTTTATAACACATTTAAGGATATTTATTGTAACAAATTTTTAAACTGTGTAGTTTTATAACTCAACTAACACAATTTTTATTATTATATTACATCTCTTCATTATGTTTCATTCTATTTTAACGTATCCTTTGTGTAAAACCTGAGATTTCAGTTGTGAGTGTTTCACATTAAAAGTTAAGTGCATTTATACAATTAACCAGTACTTATGTATGTAGTTATGTATGTATGTATGTATGTAAGGATAAAAAGCAACGCTATTAAAACATGACGTTTCGTCGGAGACATGTCACCATTATTAAATGCAAATGAGAAAAGATCACCAATGGTATATATAGAAAACGAAGGTGTGTAACGTAAAACTAGATTTTGCAGAACAAAACAAATTGTTAAACGTGCGCAAAGTCGGGCCTCAATCCTGCAGAATTGCTGTTAAGTAATTCTTGTGCTTTCACAGAGAAAAGAGGCATGTGATGAGGGTTACAGCTTCTTGAATATCGTAGATTCAATATAGATCCATGTAAACTGGCACAAAGTGAAACCATATCTCAAAGGTTTTTCATACCTACAAGAAAATATTTGCTTTAAATGAGGCAGTTAAAGAACGAAGCCGGCCCTTTTGATTTTCGCATTCCTACCCTAGTAAAGATCGATTATCAGGAACTTAAGCAGATACATTGGCGACGCCTTTGAAAAAAAGCAATTAAAAAATGTACTTTACATTTATCTTAAAAAAATTTTGCGAATATCATGCTTTTCAATAAAAAGTACAGACGTGAAGAATTTGCTGTCGGAGTCAGGTTTCCTCAAATATCTAAATTTGGAAATTCGAGCGTTATTGTTGCAAAGAGATGTTGTGCAAAACGTACAAAGTGTTGAATTGCACGCACTCAGTCATTTTACCGCTTCGCAATGCTTTTTTTTCGTTAAGTTCTCAGGGTACCCAGGAGATTGACTATCCTTTCTAGGAAAGTGTTATCAAATAGAAGATATAGTTTTAAGCTAAAGTATTAAACAAAGCAATTCACGTTGGAAACCGCTCGTTTAAGGCTGACTCCCAAACATCAGTATACATATTCTCCATTCTGTTCTCTATACATTTGCTAAGATACTCAAATGGAGAATTTGTTTAACAATCAAGATTTTCTTAATTTGGCGATCATTTCATTTATTCTCATGACCTTAATGTTTGATTCAGGGGTGGTACTGTAAGGAGAAGGTAGATTCTTGTCATTCCTAAGTATTAAAAAGTTTCGGCCAAATGGAGGAAAATAATGTAAGCCCGAAAATGGAAAATTATTTGCTGCTACACAACAAACTTGGAGAGTGATCTCAAAGAAATTAAAATTTGTTCATCTCACTTTGAAAGTGTATTCGGAACTTTGTCTTGCCAAAGAAAACAAGAATGGTTGGAACTCGACACTCCTCTATTTTCACGTTCTCGTAACGTGGAGAAATTAAAACAATATAAGAAGAGACGTGACTTCCAGAGAATCAGAGAAAGCAGTATATGTTTTCAAGGTACTCTAATGTAATTAAACGAACCATACCGTGAAGGTTTTTCATTCCGACAAGTTAATATTCGCTCGAAGTCCTGTGATGATTTTTAAGTAGCTTATGGTATTAACATCTTCAGTCAGAAAAATATGAGTGGTGTTCAAGATTTAACATACGTGCAACAATTATTTTAGGTAGTATTGATGCAAAAACAAATTCTTTTAATATCTCACACACACACAAATAGCCATTTTTGCAAAAAATGATTGCTTTTAGATCTTATGCTTAGCAAATTGATTTTTGGAATTTTTGTGAACAGACTTCAAGGCTCCATGGCTGTTTGGAGATATTGAAAACACCATGAAAAATTGTTGAAGAACCAAATAGAAAAACGTGATCTGAAAACACGAGGACTTCTTGATGAGTGCTTAATTGACTCGTGCCTATCGGTCGTGATGCTACTTCTTAAGTGTTTATTCAACTCTTCGCTAAGTATGAGAAATAGAGTTGGGGGAGGGGGGCTTGCGTCGAGCAATGACGCCGAAGGGACCGCTAATTTTAGCATATTGTATGGTAAATGGGCGAATGATTTAGACAACTTGTAAGCAAAAGAAAATCTATTTCCTTTAAAGAGTCTGATAAATCTCCCAGAACCGAAAAGGCCCAGGCAATAAGTATCTTCAAAGTTTTTTGCGGCCGAGGAAGACGACGGCGAAGAAATGGCAGCACTTGATATGTGAAAGCATTACGGGGCTAAATAAGACGAAATACTAGATGAATAACAAAGAGGCTTCCAAATATGTAAATATAAGATGTTCATATATTTAAAGTTATTAAAAGAGGCTCCCATTAAGAACAGTGACGCTAATCTAAAGAAGGTAGAGGAGCCAACCGAGAAAGAAGAAGAGTTCCAAACTGCTGCAAGGCCATGGACAATCTAAGAAAAGAAAATTACTATGTGGAACAACAGCAGAGAGATTAGTAAGAAGCTACGAAGAAGGTATATTAGCAGCTTGATGTATCTTTCTAGACTTCACGCCTTTGGGTTGCTTGATTTTACAAATACATCTGAATACATCTCATTTTAAATTTTATTTTGCAATACACTTAAATTACTAACAATACAATATGGACATTACTTACAAGCTGCGGCTACATAAAATACAATATTAACTACCAAAGCTAAAGAAAAAAAAATAAACGATTTAAGGAAATAAAGTATAAAACAATCTGACTTTTAAATTTACCTACTGTAGGCTGTTTCAATATCAAATGAGAGAGGACAGAGGGTCAAAGAGACAAGTGACGAGACATTAAGGAGGTTATGAAGGAAGAGAAAAATTCTAAACTAGGGGGCTCTTTCTCGCTTTCGAAAAATCCAGACGATTGAAAAATAGAGATGGATGTTTTTGTTTTTAGAAGGTATAGGGTCTCAAACCAATTATGATGGATGAAGTAAGGTCCGTATCCTGTTTTGTTGGAAAGTTTTTGTGGTTTATCAACAATTTCTTAACTTGTTTCAAGCGCAAAGTTTTAAATGCTAGCCTTACATTTTAATTTTTTCCTGTATGCATAATTATCATTCCTATCTAACTCTTATATTCTTTAAATCTTTTTAATTTATATACTTTTACTATTTATACTAATTTCTTATCTCCCCTATTTATAAATAATGGTAGTTTTTTACATTTTAATCTTTTTAGGACGACCCTCATGTAAATCCTTTTTCTGAATCTGGTATGCTCAATAAAGATTGTTTAATTTAACTTTAAATCAATTTTAAATTCAAACTATTACGACTAAAAACAAATGATTTTCTAAGGAAAGCAGGTATTAAATTTAAAGACATGTGCACCTTGCGTGGAGCTGAATTTGAGTACTTAACTCACCTGTTCTGGGTTTGTACCACCACTTCAAGCCATTGGCAAAAGTCTAACGGATTTATTAGCAAATACTGCACTGCACTCTGCTCTGCTCTGCTCTGCGACGGTTTTCCAGTGCAGTCTCGCTAGCGCATCGTTTGCAGAAGTACAAGGAGGAAGATCTAAAATGATGCGCGCTGCTTTGTTATGCAATATTTGTATGTCTGCCATTGAAGTCGAATTACCTCTATCTCCCCATATTTCACAGCTGTTGTTCCTACTTAAGAGACAATCTCTTTTTAATTGTTTTATGCAGACATATGGCCTTGAAAACCAAGATAATTTGATTTGCTACCGAAGCGTTCTTCAAACTCGTGATAAGAAATGAACGTGGTCAAATCTTTCATTAGATGAGCGACATTTTTAAGGCCTTTAGAGTACCATGATTTATAAAAAAAAAACTGGTCTATAGTCGATTTTTATGAGCGAGTTACGCCAAAGACTAGATGAAAGGTAGTGATCAATAGAGATCAAGCAAAGATTAAAGCTTACTTCTGAGCAGATTTGCAAGATTTCCTTCGTGAAGAAATCCGAGATGCCGTATTTTAGCAAGTCATCTTTTTTTAGGTTTGCCTCTACAGATGGCAGGCCCACCAAAATATAGCAATTCATAGTCAAAAAAGTACTTCAATTTACCATGATTTTCTGGGTCAAGAATTCCGTCTGAATAGCCACAGAACAGCACATTTCGCTTGGATTTTCCCCCTTGCCGCTCCATAAAGATCGAAGAAAGATTTGCTCAATTCTTTTAGCACGCGGCAATTTGTTTGCAAAGTTGACAGGATGTAAACCAGTTTTGAAGCTCACAAGCTTTTTAACACTGTAATCTTCCCAAGAAGACTCAATCGCCAGTATTCCCAGCTGCCTAGGCAGTGACAGACTTTTGCCCATTTATCAGGGTAGTTTGCCTCCATAGTTACTTTCGGGTCGGTTGGAAATCAGACGCCCTAGGCCTTTACTTTGTTCTTTACCCATGTCAAAGCAGTAGTCCTGGAATATTTTAGGCGGCAGCAAAATTTTAACGCACTATCTATTAATCTAAATGTTTTCTCCAATAAATCTCCCTTTAACAAAACCCGTTTAATTACAACTAGTTTTGGAATAACTTTTTAAAGGTGGTTTGCAGTTACCTCGGCCGCTTTTTTTAAGTCACAATCTAGTTAAGTAATTGGACACCAGTTTTTAGTGAGATCTTGCTCTGCATCCTTTTTCGGTGTTAGATTAATAAGTCGCCGCCCTTGGGTCACTGACAGTTGCAGTTGTACTTTTCCGAAAGTATAATTTATGGAGTTTACGAGTTAATCGGAGAGGTCATTCCTACCAAATGTCGAGATCTGCTGGAATCTTTCTGCCTACAACAGCATGTAGTGGCCCAACCCATATTTATGGTCACACCCTTGATTTACTCATCGCCCGCCAGTCTGACCAAATTGTAAGATCCACACCTCAAACTGACTGCTACTTCTCTTATCATGCACCAGTGCTGTGTCATATTCACCCAATCAAGCCTTCTTTCTCCACCAGGTCTCTCTCGATTAGGAAAATAAAATTAGTTAACGTGGATTCCCTGGATGGTGACCTGGCTAAGTCTGAGCTATGCAAAAATCCCCCGGACGACCTCAAAGAGCTTGTTTTGTCGTATAACAAAACCCAAAAAGCTTTGCTGGACATGCGCGCACCTGTTAAGACTCGAACGGTTGTTGTGCGTGCGCAAGTTTCATGGTATACGGACGAAATCAGACAAGCTAGGAGACAGCGACAGAAAGCTGAAAGAAGATGGAGGTTGTCGAAACTTGATTCCGACTTGGCTCTCTTCAAAGCTAAGAGCAATGGTGTCAACAATTATATATATAACAAGGCACGACAGGCATTTTACACTAAATATATTTAGAATAACAGCTGTAATCAGCGAAAGTTATTCCGTGCTGGTAAACGCCTGTTTAATCAGTCGCACGGCGATGAATTACCTCAGAATCTGTACACCTCCACTTTCGCAAACGAAGTAGGAGAGTATTTGTGTCAAAGATTGTTACAATCTAGAGACCAATTTATACTGATATAATAGATTTACCTGCCTCCGCACCCATTACTGTTGGTGGCACTGCTCTGTCAACTCCATCGTTATCTGAATTTAAGACCCTGTTTACCATCAATGATAGTTAACTGTTTCTTCATGTTTACTTATCTTTTACTTTTTATGTTTTGCATTAGATAATTCTATTGCCAGAAAATTTTATTGTCTCTCTTGGTGCTCTTAAAATTTCAATAAAGCGAGATGCAGGGGGAACGAATCTTGCCAGAGTTCAGTTTTCATTCTCTCGCCTCAAGTTGACGGTCGTTTCAACTTTATACCTTATGTACTGAAAGTTGATGTAACGATCTCACTCCGAACTAATGTCCATCTTGTCTTGGCAGTCACCTCCTTTTGTCTCTCTTTTCACACTCGGTTTCATTACTTCCAAGCTTCTAACCATTCTTTGCTTTGGTCGTTTTAATCCGTCTCTCAATTGTTTTCTATCGCGATTTACCTTTAGTCGCATTTGTTTGTTCATTTCTTTTCTCAGGGTCTCAGTGGGGTGATGGCTTTTTCGGCTAACTGTTAAAATGTTGGCTAATTAACCGCTAACGGCTGATATCTTTCCATTTTTATCACCATAAATTTTTTCTTACGGGGCACCTTTTTACGACTGATGGTTAAAATTTGTCAATTTTTACGCCTAACGGCTAAATTTATTACTTTCTGCATTTTCTTCAGTACCGTTCGTCTCTGTCTCGTTCGCGACTCGTTGGGCGTCTTACAACTCAGAGTAGATCTCTGAATAAGGGAACACCTTTCAGTGCCATGAAGCTCTACGTAGTCGCACAACTAAACAGCTCTATCCTTGGCCAGGCATTCAAGATGAAAGATAGGTATCATTTATGAAGCCAACGATGAGAGACTGGAATTCCATTCGTTTTTGCTCGATTGGGCCAGGTTCCCCGCAAGGAAGACTTTTTTCGCCCCATTATTTGTGGAGCTGACAAGAAAAACATTGATTAAATGAGCTCCCAAGTTCACAATGTAACATTACAACCAGCGAATTAATTATAGGATATTACTACTAAACTACACAGCGCTTAACGGCCAGGCTCCTACCGACATTACTGAAGTGCTCGAGCCCTATGTACCAACCGGGAATTTGAGATCCTCTTCCAAGAACTTACTGTAAGTACCATCTGTCAAGCTAGTAAGTTATAAGGCTATAAGTGTTTCTCTTTCGCGGCACCTAGCTTACGGAACTATCGTCCCAACAATATCAAACAGCAGCTCACTATCAAATTTTGAGACCCTTCCATAGAAACGTCTTTTTAATCAATCTTACCGTCAGTTTAGCATGCGACATGGCTTTTGAAACTTAAATTCACGTACTGCTGTTAATATGTTTTAATCTTTCTTCTCGGACCCAATATTATGATTATAAATTTTTTTTAGTTTTTGATTGCAATCATTGTAATGTGCTATCGAGCTAAAGGAAATAGCGCTATGTAAAGAAAGTATTTATATTATATAACAATCTTAACAATATTAGGTAATAGATAATTTTAATCAATTCAACAATATTGTGTAGTAAAAGAATTATTAAAAAAACTTATTTGATTGATTTGTTGAGTGAATAAAGTATAAATAAAGTATTGTTATTATTTATCAATCTTAATAATAAATAATAGATAATTTTAATCAGTCCAACAATACTGTAAAGTAAAAGAATTATTTAAAAACTTATTTGATTGATTTATGTTGAGTGAATAAAAACGTTTTCGTCGTTTAAACGCAATTTCATAGTTACACGAAGAATTTCGAAGACGTAAAGGAGGACTTAAGGACCGAGACTGTAAACGTATTCAGCCGTTCAGTATGCACTGAACTGAAAATATTAAACAATTGTTTCCATAACATTTAAAACACCGTATTGTTCATGCTGACAACTTAATATTTACTCGACTTCTTGTTTCATTTTCGATACGTCGACCTTTCTGTCGACCGCTTGCTTATTTTTATGTAAACATATTAATTTTTGCAATTTTTGTTGACTAGTTTCTAAGTCCCGTAGTAATTTGATAATATTGAAAAGATCATGAGCAATTCTTATATTCTTTAAAGTTATATTTTCATTAATAGGTCAAAGATTCTTAAGGGAATAAATAACACCCGTATTCAAAGCTGGACTTACCAAAATCTTGCGCCTACATCTTGTTTTTTTTGCGGAACGCTCACAGGTGTTAACAAAGATCTGGTACCTGCCTGTGTAAATCCTCATCATTGTGAAAGATTTACATATTACTTAAACATTGATATTGTAAGATTAGTTTCATGGTGACCGAACTTAATGCTCATGAAATGGAAATTTCTGCATGAAACTGAAATTTCATCACCAAAAGAAAGAAATCCCCTTCGAAAAAATAAATCATCGAGACGGTAATTAGAGGAAATTTCAAGTTAGCAGTACTCAAATGGCTGGAGAAACGACTGTACTTCAATGTATGTTTTCAAATTTTAGGGTTCCTTTTCTCAGCTCCAACCATACAATGTTATAAAAAAAATATAAGAAAACAAAAAAATAAAACATATCAAAGTGAATTATACTTATCTAGATGTTACAAATTTGCTGTTTAGTTTAATGTCTAGTGATCCACTATTTTCTGTGATTTACACAAACTGGTTCATTCTTGACGCAAATATTATTACAGAAATTAATCATGCTTAAACCATAAAATATCACCAGAGTTTTCAACATAACGGCAGTATCTGCCAGTCAACCACATAGCCTTGAAAATTGGTGTCTCGTCTTTGTAATAGAACTCTCCCAGAGCTTTCTTCAGATGCCCCGTGGCTTCAACTGCGTGGTAGTGAGGTATGTGTGAAAAAAGATGATGGGCAATGTGTGTGTCTCCAATGTGGTGGAAAACATGATTCAAAATTCCGTAATCCCGATCCACGGTGCACAGTGCCCCTTTAAGCCAGTTCCACTGTTGGCCTCTATAGTGAGGCACAGCGGCATCCGAGTGTTGTAAGTCCGTGATGAAGACCAACCAGAAATTCACAATGAGATAAGGGATGATATATACCTTCAACAGCCAAAAAGTAGAGTTCACATAAGCCAGGTAGCCAAGGAAACCGATCCACACCACCAATGCAATGTCACTGATAACGATGTCTTTATAGTCTTTCTCGCTAAAAATCGGGCTTTTTGGGTTGAAGTGATCTGTATGAGTGTGGTATTTACGTCCGGCGACGTGGAACATTAGATAGCCAGGCCAGCCAAACAGGGACATTTTCAACAGGGACAAAACGTTCCAGGTGGGAGACAGAGCTGCCAGTCCATCTTTAGTAAACTCTTCTTTTGTACTGGGAACAAAAACTTCGTCACGGTCCATATCATTTGTACTTCGATGATGTTTTGCGTGACTTATTCGCCATGAATGATACGGCACAAGCAGCGCAGAATGTAACACAAGCCCAGTGTAGTCACAAACAATCTTGCTGTCGGAAAACGAATAATGGCCACACTCGTGCGCCAAAACCCAGATGCCGGTGCAAACACAGCCTTGGCAAATCCAGTAGAGAGGCCAGAGAATATAGGACGCCCAAGGCGGTAAATAAGGATGGTTGAAGTAGCCCGTGCTTAGATATAACAAACACGCCATCGTTAAATCCCAAACAACATAAGCGTAAGACTTCAATGTGGATCTCTCGAAGCAATGTGGCGGGATGGCGGCTTTCAAATCCTTCAACGTAAACGGTGGATCGTGCGTTGGTCGGGGATCCTTCTTCAGAGTTATGTAACTTTGCGACATTATGAAGGTAACTTCTTAGGCCCCGGTGTAAGGATTTTACAGCTTCACTTCTTCGCCTCTTACTATCGAAACATAAACGTAAACTGTAAAATAGTAAACAGGAAACCGCAAAGATTGTTTTGATGTTATGTCTAGTGAAAGATGCGGTGGCTGAGGTGAAAATAGTTAGCATTAAATGCTATCACAACTGAAGTCGACCAATCAGAAACGAGGTTGACGCTTGTCGCGGTAACAACCGCGTGTGAATGAAGGTTACCCAGGGTGAAGTTCTCTAAATTTTAACAACGCAGAGTTTCACACCGAAGCTTTCGAGTAAGGAAGGTTCTATACGGGATGAACGTTGATTTAAATCAACCTAACAACCATTAACAATCATTTAAATGCTTTTATTTCGAAAATATTCGCGAATAGATGAATAATTCTCTGTCTGAGGCTTCATTGTTATGGTTTATAACCACGCTGTAGACAAATATCGTATGTTCTGGTGCACGTGATCATCAAGCCTTCGTGACAAGAGAGTATTACTCTCTTTTCAATACACGTGCTCCCTCTACATAAGTTCAAAGAGGTATTACATCTGTAACGGTTTTCATTTCAAAAAGCGGGTGTTTGAGAAAGCCAGTTTATATATTACCTATGCTTTTGCATAACACGATCAATTTAACGACAGAATTATGTATATGAATATTTTATCATTGAATGCACCGAGCATAATTGGCGAGGATTTTAATTAGTGCAAATAGGAATGAAAACATTTATATATGAACTTATTGGAATTGTTTTAAGGTTTGGGTCTCGATCATTTTTCGTGATGAACTTTGTAAAATTGATCGCTTTTTCCAGCAAGGAAGCGTTTCAGGCCCTTTCATTGGTAAGATTTTATGAGAATAAACAAATACCCTACTAAATTAAACCAATTGAGATGTAAACACGTTCAGTTTAAAAATAACTCTCAGAGCGACTTGTGTTTCTAGGGTCAATAAGGAAGTTAACCCAATTTCACTTCACTTAAATCGATTTTCCTGATTACATAACTCAGTTTGAATGACAGAAATGCAATCGAAGTTAAATGCGAAATGATCTAAATCAAGGAGAAGAATTGTGTAGAGTCGAAGGGATTAAAAGCTTTCGAGTCGGCGACCAACGCCAATTTGAAAGTTTGGAGTAGGTCGTATATCTATAAATATTTTCAAAATACTTACGTGGGTGTCAAGGACAAGCTATTTAACTTAGTTTTAAAGGTGGATAAAATATAATCAATACAAGAATCTTGAAACCAGTTCAAACTACCTTAGCTGATTTAATAGAATTTCAAGGAACAACTTAGTCGCTTCACGCAATTAGCGCAGAGAATTATAAAGTTAACATGGAAAACTTTCGGCAAAGAGGGAAAATGCAGTATTGGTTACCAAAAACGATTTAAATTTTTTAGCCGATCTGGAAGTTTCCGCGTAGCCCTTGGTGGGTGTTTCCGACTGCCGGGCGTTTAGTCTACTTTGAGAGCGTGCTTAGCTGCCGGGCATTTAATCAATTATAAAACAGGACCTTTGTTCCAAGGGTTATCTACTGCAATTATTGAGATAACGAAAAATAAAGTCTTTCATTTCGGTTTATGTAAAAATATCAAGAAATTTTCGCAGCAACTTTTTGAATTTTGGCAATTTTGCAACTTTTCGGCAACTTTTTTGCATTCCAGTAGGCGACCTTCCAACATTTTACGGGCATAATTGGACTAATATTGTTTCTCTTTGACTATTTTTCAAGGAAGTTATCAGTTATCCCAGATTTAGTTTACCAAATGCAAAGCAGTGTCGAATGGATACTTTTTTTAACCATTCTTTTCCCCTCAGTTCTTTTAAATTTATTCATGGATTTACAGCACCTATCAAGAGAAGATGGAAACATTTGTACTGAATTTTAACACCCGAAGGTTTTACACTATAAATGTCAAGTTAATATGTCTCACCTTTTACACGTTCATCTTGAAGAAAAGATTGATTTATTTTAACTTTTTCATTTACTGAACATGATGTCAAATAAAAAGGAAATCTTTTCCCTCCCATTCCTTTCCTGATTTAATTGGTTAGTCCAGTGGAACAGTCATTAACAATTCAAAACATTTGATTTACCTAAATAGTGACAATGAAAATGAGACGACCCAGACAATAAAAATTATATTAATAATAGCAATAATGCTTAGAACAACTCAAAAAGTATCGAAACATTATGATTGTGATAACGATGATGATAACAATAGAAAAATAATCAAAAATAATAATAATAAAAAATTGTCAAACTTTCTAATTAGTATAACTTCACATTTGTATTGCCTTGAAATGTTTCATTAGCTAAGAACATTTTCACCTGCATATTCAAAAGTTAAGTGCAGTATACAAACTTAATTTTTACAAGGCATTCTCGAGATATTCTAAGTTTCAAAAACAACACTTCACGATAAGTCATTTGTTATCCGTGTGATTTTTCTCTAATCTTTACTATACTCGTTCCTTCTTAGTTCATTCTCTTCATTCAAGAGTTTCGCTTCCCCATTGAATTAACGTCATCACTGTCGTGTTTTGCACACTGTACGTCATTTGTCCTATCGTTATAACTGTGAACACCCTGAAGATGCCCTATCATGAATTGTTTTGCAGAGCGTCAACTTGAATTGAACTGGGGGAAAATCGGTAAATTAAAACGAGGATCGTCCACATGTTCTGACCAAACCCTCTTTATATTGCGCGTGCGGATCATGATGTAGAGTAGTACGCTAGGGCGCATGACCAGAAATATATCACCAGGCTACAGGATAGTCCAACAACTGGTGTGTACCAGGCTGAATAAAAAAAAAAGAAATTATAGAAATTTATGCATTGGACTTTTAAATTTGTGCGCATTTGTGCGCGCATGTTATTATTAGAAAATCGTAATTTAGGTGACAGTGGACCTCAAGTCCCAGTCCCTCTCCTCGACCCCTCTTCTCCTTCCCTTCCCATAGAGCGCCCATACTGTGAAAGTTGAGATTGCCGTAGGTCGCGTGGCGTACTCAATAACCTTAGTTGATATCTGACGCAGGCTGTTCATCAAAGGAAAGCAAACTATGTTTATGGGAAAGTGATAAAGCAAAATACGTGGAAATCCCTGCGCAGGCCAGCGAATGCAGTGAAACAGAATGTACCAAGCTTAAAGCAAACGAAGACAAGCTGATTGCACATTTGCACAGAGTAACTAGTCCTAGATTTGATAAAAAACCAAACAGATTTTTTTTGTATGGCACCGTTAAATTTAGTAAAATTAAATTTTATCTGTGGTTGTTCTATAGGCTGGCTCCTCTAAGTGGTGTCTCTTTATTCACTGTTATCCCCTTCAAAGTGGAAGTTGGAGTGTTTGTTACCATGGAGGTAGGAAAACCGAAGAAAATGGAGAAAAACCTAGGAAACAGTGACGAGAACCCAGGACAAGTTACTTACCGATAGTTTCCTCGTTTGTTTCACAGATCTGATCTTCCTCGTCGCTTTCATTCTCCCAGTTGTCATGGTAACGTTGTACATTGATGAGTGGTGGTATAATAGGTTTGCTTGGCAGGCTGAGTGTGCGCTTGGAACGCTGGGTAAGTAAACTTGGTTGATTGAGAGGTTTGAGGGAGTGGGAACGATAATGTCGCGCGCGCTCGTAGAGAGACATGACCTCTTTGTTCTTTGAAAAGGAGTGCTGCAATTGATAAAAAATAATAATTTAATTCAAAATATGCCATGACGAGGAAAGGGAATTTAGGGCCGAACCATTTGCCATGAGTATGGCGGAACATCACAACAACTGATTCTTCCCTGGGAAATCAAAAGATTATACACCTTCTACTTTCAACCTTGAGAAACCAACGTCTAATTTTTCTTAACAGTATCACCCCTAGATCAAACTTAAAGCTCATAAGAAAAAATAAATGATCACAAACTGAAGAAGCTCTTGCGTGTCAAAAAATCCTCCCTGTAATGGTTGCTCCATAGGAAATATATGGATAATAGTATGGATGATATGCATATTGATTAAGGGTTTTAAAAAAAATTTATAACGTCGTCCTCTCGGTCCGTAAGGTACAGATGCTTGATTTTTTCCGTTTAATTTGCGGTCCACGCGGAGAAAATGTTAGTAAAAAGACACGGACTTGAAATAACCTTAAGGACCTCGAATTTAATCTTCCAGGCAACACAGACGTGCATACGTCTTAATCAGACAAGACAGGCGCACATAACATTTATTTAATTTACGTTATAAAATCCTGCTGCATACACAATTTTTCACTTCTTACACAACATTATTAAACCTTAGGTTCGCGTTGGTTTTCATTGAACCCCTTCACTTTCTAGATACGTTTCAAAGATTGCTGCTTTTGTGATTAAGAAATTATTTCACACATCCACTAATTTATTTTACTATATTTTACGGAGGTGGATTTTTAATGCAGTAACAGTAGTGAGAGAAGCTATGAATTTCAGAAATGATATTTTAAAACATAACCGCTTTAAACGCTGTTCTCGTGCCATTTCAAAAACCTTACCTTAAATATTGAAATTCACACAGCGGTTCCAATATATATGTCCCAATTTATCGGTTATCTATTCGCCAACAGGACTGATTTGCGCCGAATATATCTAATGCTATGAGCGAAAGCCACTTACATTAAGAGCTTTTCTTTAATGCAACTAAAATCGTTAATGCACATCTTTCAAACAGGATTAACGTAAGCTGAGATATCAATCACTTTGTCAAGTTCTACGTCATGCAGTGTCGTCACAAAACTAATTTTGCCTCTTCCATTATTTCCGCCCCTAAGACAATTACAGATTACACGCTTGACTCAATCCACTGTAAAGACAAAAGAAAGAACAAGTCTACAAGAGAAGGAGTCCGTGCCTTGTTGCAACTGATAAATTCTCGGCATTCTGAAGATTTTATCTCGAAGGACCGCTTACATATTTCAGAATTCATGTATGACGCAGCAAATAGTCAAACTGGATGGTGTCGTCGCAAAAGATCACATTTTGTACACTTCGAGACGATTGTTTATATAACAAAGCAAAATGTTTACAAAAATTCACGTATTTATTCTCTAAATCCCTTCACGTAGCAAGGATTCATATCATAATTTTTTGCTTTTTAACCTTAAAATACCAACTTATATACGTATATATGAGCAGAAGGAATTCAAGTAGAGATTTATATTCCAAAAAATCATGTACTTTTTTTTTTCATGATTTGAAGATGCACGCAAAATTTTCATCCAGCAATAAAGCATCGAAGCGTATAAATAATGAATAATAAAAGTTATTACTCATTCGATCCAGTTGTGTCGGTTTTATAGTAATAGTGACAAAGCATTAGTACATAGTCGTTATGCAAATTTAAAACAATTGAGATTCGACAAAGAAGTTTGTAGAAAACGCACAGTTTCTCAAATTAATCTCTTTTATTTTTTCGCAAAACCATCTTGATTTTACATAATGTTATCAGAGCTGTTTCCAGTTTCTAATCTAAAACCCTTGCTTGATAACTTTAGTTCAACATACAAAATTGGATCTAATCTCTCTCTTGCAGCACGTAAAATATAAAATTTGCATATGACAAATATCCTTTTCAGCACTTAACTGAACTTAATTGTTGCTTTGAGTGTTTTATTTTATCTTTCATATTGTTTGAGGTTGGTAGAAAGTCAAGTGAAAGCACAAAAAATAAGAACAATATGATTTTTTTTTAGATCGAAGAGCAACTAAGAATTACGTTTAAAAAATGGACGATTAAGTCGGGCATAGTTTGGTGTTAATTCCTAACTAATTCATCAAGAGACAGGTCTTCGAGACCAAAATTTTTTAAACAAATTCGTATCTTAAAAGCTTCCAACCAGGCTATTTTCACTGAAAAAAATTACCTAAATTCGAGTTTTTTCTGTGAAATGTTATTGACATCATGGACAGAATGAACTTGCCTCGTAGTCTTTTAACCCTTTAACTCCCAAGATCTCATTAGTAATTCTCCTTACTGTCTGCCATATAAATTTTGTGATGTTAGTTCGGAGTATTTGTATTGGATCAACTAATAATCCCCTAATTGATATTTTTCTTTATTCTCATCACTTGTCTGCTTGATATTATTTTGATATTGTAAGGAGAAATTCTGTCTTGGTCACTCATGGGAGGTAAAGGGTTAAATGACCTCTATAGTACTCATAAATTAAATAAAATGCAAAGTAGTAATGAAATTTTCGTTTTCGTATTGTGTCTGACAAGGGATTTTTTTATAGCAAGCACTTTCCAAGATGTTTTTGTCATAAGGGACTAATATAAAAACCCCCATCGCTAGCAAAATAGATTTTTTCAATTTATGCATTGCTTCCTTCCTCATTTACACTTTATTATTTTCAAGTAAAAAATTGCAATCTGACGCTTCGAGAGTGGAACAAAGACAAACTTTACATTTCAGTTCATAAACCCCTTTTGTAATGCTTCACTCACCAAAATATACATGTTGACAATGCTTCACTCGCCACAATATACATGTGTATCAGAAGCGCTGCAAAGGACTATATTAGATTATATTCTCTAGGACATGAGCTACTGATCATTTAACACCCTCCCTGCTGCCAGCTTGTGCGAGGTCACTTGTCCTACATATTACTTTACTCTTAGTCAGTAACTCAGTATCAGTGAATCACAACTTAAACTATTTTATGAGGAGAGTTACATCTGATCATACGAATGAAATAAATATAGGGTTATCCACAGGCGCCAACTTTATTTATTTACATCAAGCTTTAACTTAAGCATTCGATGCCAAATTTTTGTCTCCAGTCGAAGCTGGGGACAACTAAGGGATAAAATGATATCCAATTCAACCGATAATTCTGTAAACTAAGAAAGATCCCACTCAAACAAATAGAGGATTCAAAAATAGTACATTTTAAGTTATTTCAACGAGAAGATGTCGCTTATGAGGAGTTTTTTTAGAAAATCTTTTTGAAGAAACGCGGTGCATGCAAAGTCTTTGACTCGTGCAGTAATTTTCAAGATAAACAACACCGCTCCGAAGACGGCGAGGGTTTTTGTTAAAAAGGCAGGTATTCAGTAATACCGAGACGTAAATAGAAAAGGCGGTAGAAAGAAGAACTAACCTTAAGCTTGCCGGGTTTCAAAAAAGTGGCACAGTTTCGGGTCTAAATTCCTTCTCGCGCGTTGAATCGGTAAACGTTGAGCTTGTTTCTGGAAGAAAGAAACGCTCTCTCTGTAAGTAACAATAGAAATCTATGTCTGGAAATTCTGATGAGATAAGCACGCACTATACTTTCAATCCTATTTATGTGGTCGAAAGTCTGTTTTTTTTATAGCATTTAAAGAGTATGCAGAGAAAATTTACCCGGCAGAGGGAGTGCTATATTCCCGAATGAGTCCATTAAAATCAGAACTAAACGTATTTGTTATGAAAAGCAGAGAATACAAAAGCAGCTGAAATTAAGGCACGGTTGCAATTAAATCCGCGTTAAAATCCGCTATTAAAAGTTTATTGATGTCTAAAACAAAAGCGCAGGGCTACAAGAGAATTCGAACTGAATGCATTCACTGCTTTGAATAGCTTGATCGCATCGGCGGCAAATCGGATAACTAAGATAAAATCTTCCGTAAGTTTTCCACATTAAGTGCTGCTTGGACAGAGAGAATTAAAGATATTCTATCTGTAATGATATAAGAGGAATCTAATTTAGCGCAAAATCTTGTCAGAGATGTGTAGGAGTGCCTTTGTTTTAGAAAAAGATTTTATCAGAGTAGTTATGCTGCAGCAAATTGCATTTTGATTACTAAATAGAGAATATATTATTTCATGGAATAGACGTCTGTAATTAAAAGAACTGCTTAATTTCTCCGGAGATGTTCACGCCCGGACATTTCATCTCCCACGACAACTCAGTCAAGACGACTTAATCACTTCCTTTCTTGGATCTTATTTTTAGCCGCATAGGCGTGCTCAGAGGCTTCAATAGAATACTTAAGGGAAAAAAGACTGTTTCAATTCCTATAAATATACCTGTAATTGTCACAGATAAGGACGATCCTAACTTTTCATCGCAAATTTCGCTGAAGTTTTACTTTGTTTTGTTTTTGTTTTGCTTTTTCAAATTAATGCAGACCTGTGTAATCGATCGCGAAAATACCATCTGTAGAACTTGGGCAAGATCGGCAATGTGGGCGGAGAGCTTTTTTCAACCGCACTGAATATTTAATTGCTCGGGTTTTCAAATTTATTGTTAGTTTGTGTAGACGATACCCGAGTTATCCGTCAGATCTCGGAAATTTTATTTACTAAGTCCCTCGCCGTGAAAATCGTCAAGTCATTCACATGCTGCACTGTTCCATATGTTCATCAAACTCAAAGCATTAATTCTCATTCAGTGCATGTAACATTCACTTTAATATTTTTTTCAGGAAATTCGATTCTTTAAACCAATTCGAACTTTGGGATATTGCGTTCTATATTTAGAAGCGTTTAGGTTTAAAGCAAGCTCAGTGATCTTAATTCGGTATGAAAATCAAGGGTAGGAGTGGATTAGGAATTTCGATTCTTTATTTTATTCAAGAAAGGGTGAAATGAACGGGAAGGGGGGGGGGGAGTAAGAGGCGCACCGACACCACTCTCTTTGA